AAAGAAGGATATTACGTAATGGTAAAGGGAACAATCCAACAAGAAGATATAACCTTAGTAAACATTATGCACCCAACATAGGAGCACCTAAATATGTGAAGCAAATCTTGATGGACATAAAGGGAGAAACTGACAGTAATACAGTCATAGTGGGGAATTTCAACATCCCACTGATATCAATGGATGGATCTTCCAGACAAAAGATCAACCAGAAAACAGCAGCCTTAAAAGACACACTAGATCAGATGGATTTAATTAATATCTTCAGAACATTTCACCCCAGATCAGCAGAATATACATTCTTTTCAAGTACACATGGAAATTTTCTAGGCTAGAACACATTAGTACACAAAACAAGTCTCAGTAAATTTAAGAAGATTGAAATCCTATCAAGCATCTTCTCTGACCATAATGGTATGACACCAGAAATTAACCACAAGAAAAAAAATGAAAAACACACAAAGACATAAAGGCTAAATAACATTTTACTATACAATGAATGGCTTAACAATGAGATCAAGGAAGCCAACAAAAGATATCTTGAAGCAAATGAAAATGAGAACACAACAACCTAAAATCTATAGGACACTGCAAAAGCAGTCCTAAAAGCATTACACAGCATTACAGGCCAATCTCAAGAAGCAAAAAAAGTCCTGACTGGTGTAGCTCAGTGGTTTGGGCATCATCCTACAGAATGAAAGGTCACTGGTTCAATACCTGATCAGGGCACATGCCTGGGACTAGGCCAGGTCCCCAACTGGGGGCATGCCAGAGGCAACCGATCAATGTTTCTCTTACATATCAGTGTTTCTCTCCCTCTCTTCCTCCCTTCCTTCCCCTCTCTCTAACAATAAATAAAATATCTTTAAAAAGAAACAAAAAACCTCCAATAAACATTGTAAGTTTACACTTAAAGGAACTTGGAAAAGAACAACAAAGGCCAAAGTGAGTAGAAGAAAGGAAATAATAAAGATTAGAGCAGTCCTGGTCAGGTGGCTTAGTTGTTTGGAGCATCATCCCATACACCAAAAGGTCAGGGGTTCAATTTCCAGTCAGGGCACATACCTAAGTTGCGGGTTCGATGTTTCTCTCTCACATCAATGTTTCTCTCTCTCTACCCACCCCCACTTCCTTTCTCTCTAAAATCAATAAACATATCTTCAGGTAAGGATTAAAAAAAAATTAGAGCAGATGTAAAATATAGTCTAAAAAATACAAAAGATCAATGAAACCAAGAGCTGGTTCTTTGAAAAGCTAAACGAGATTGACAAACCTTTAACTACACTCCTCAAGAGAAAAAGAGAGAGGACCCAAATAAATAAAATCAGAAAATGAAAGAGAAGTAATAAATGACACCTAAGAAATACAAAGGATTGTAAGAAATTATTACAAATATATGGACAATCTGGATGAAATGTATAAATTTCTTAGAAACGCAAAATCTTCCAAAACCGAATCAGAGAATCTGAATAGACAGATTACGACAATTTAAAGCAGTAATCAAAAAACTCCCAATAACAAAAGTTCTGAACTGGATGGCTTCATAGGTAAATTTCATCAAACATTCAAAGAACTAACATCTATCCATCTGAAACTATTCCAAAAAAAATCAAGAGGAGGGAAAACACCAAAGTTTATTTTATAAGGCCAGCATTATCCTAACTCTAAAACCAGATAAAAACACTGCAAAGAAAGAAAATTATCAGTCAATATCCCTGATGAACATAGATGCTGAAATCCTCAACAAAATATTACCAAACCAGATCCAGCAATACATTAAAAAGATCATACAACATGATCAAGTGGGATTTATTCCAGTGATGCAGGGCTGGTACAATAGCTGCAAACCAATAATCATGATACACCACATAAACAAAATGAAGGGGAAAACCCACAAAATCACATAAATAGATGTAGAAAAAGCATTTGACAAAATTCATCACGTATTTATGATAAAAACTCTTAGCAAAGTGGGAATATCGGGAACATACCTCAATGCAATAAAGGCCATGTATGACAAACCCATAGCCAACATCATACTCAATGGGCAAGAACTACAAGCGTTTCCCTTAAGGCTGGGAACAAGGCATGGATGTCCGCTTTCACCTCTTATTCAACATAGAATAAGAAGTCCCAGCCACAGCAGCCAGATAAAAAGAGGAAATAAAAGGCATCCAAATTGGAAAAAAAGAAGTAAAACTGTCATTATTTGCAAATATCATGATACTGTACATAAAGAACCCTAAAGATTCCACCAAAACACTACTAGAACTGATAAATGAATTCAGTAAATTAACAAGATATAAAATATCCAGAAATCAATTGCATTTTTATATACCAATAATGAACTATCAGAAAGGGAAACTAAGAATACAATCCTATTTATAATTGCATCAAAAGTAAATAAAATACCATATTTTGGGGACTATAAGACATATCCTGCAAATTTGGGAGGAATGGGGGTGTGTCTTATAGTCCGAATGTAGCTTACCTAGCTCGCTGTGTGTGTGGGGGGGTGGCCTATGTTATTTATGTTATTAAATATTTTACCACATTTTTTGCTTCAAAAATTGTTTTCCTATTTTCCTCCTCTAAAACCTAGGTGCATCTTATGGTCTGGTGTGTCTTATCAGTCCGAAAAATTCAGTACCTAGGAATAAATTTAACCAAGGATGTAAAACACCTGTACTCAGAAAATTATAAGACACTGAAGAAAAAAACTGAAGAACATAAAAAGAAGTGGAAGCACATACCATGGTCATGCACAGGAAAAATTATCATCATTAAAATGTCCATACTATCCAAAGCAATGTATAGATTCAATGCAATTCCTATCAAGATCCCAATGGTGTATTTCATAGAACTAGAACAAACATTCCAAAAATTTACATGGAACTACCAAAGACTCAGAAGAGCCACAGCATTCTTGAGAAAGAAGAACAAAATTGAAGGAATCATGCTACCTGATATCAAACTACACTACAAGGCCACAGTAACCAAAACAACATGGTACAGGCATGAAAACAGACACAGAGGTCAATGGAACAGACTAGATAACACAGAAATAAACCTATGCCTTTATAGTCAAACAATACAGTATTGGACAAAGGAAGCAAGAACATACAATGAAGTAAAGATAGTCTATTCGATAGTGTTGGGAAAATTAGACAGATATGTGCAAAAAAATGAAGCTAGACACCTTCTTACACCATACAGAAGAATAAACTCAAAATAGATAAAAGACTTAAATGTTAGACTGAAAATCATAAAAATCCTAGATAGAAAAAAATCTAGGCAGTAAAATCTTGCACATTTCTTGTAGCAATATTTTTCTAATATATCTCTTAGCGCAAGGGAAATAAAATAAAAAATAAACAAATGGTACTATATTAAACTAAAGTTTTTGCACAACAAAGGAAACCATCAACAAAATGAAAAAAAAAATCACTGACTGGGAGAACTTATTCGCCAATAATACATCTGATAAGGGATTAATATCCAAAAATATAAAGAACTCATATAACTCAACACTAAAATAAAATCCAATTAAAAAGTCAGCAGAGGACCCAATTAGACATTTCTCCAGAGAAGACCTACAGATGGCCAATAGACATATGAAAAAATGATCAACCTTTAATTGCATCAACAAATGCAATTAAAAAAGCACAATGACAGCCCTGGCCAGTGTGGCTCAGGTGGTTGGAGCCTTATCCTGTGACCAAAAGGTTGTGGTTAGATCCCTAGTCAGGGCACATGCCTAGGTCGTGGCTGGATCTCCAGTCCTGGTATGGGCTGGGGGCGAATGGGAGGCAACCAAATCAACAATTCTCTTTCATATCGATGTTCCTCTCTCCCTTCCTCTCTCTCTAAAAGCAATTTAAAAAATGTCCTCAGGTGAGGATAAACAAAGAAAAGAAAACCATGATGAGATATCACCACACAACAGTCAGAATGGCTATCATCAATAAATCAACAAACAAGTACTGGTGAGAATGTGGAGAAAGGGGAACTCTCCTGCACTGTTGGAGGGAATGTAGGAATGCAGATTGGTGCAGCCACTGTGGAAAGCAGTATGACGTTACCTGCCCTTCCTTTGCTCCAGGGACATCTTATTTATTTTTTTTAAGATTTTATTTATTCATTTTTAGAGCGAAGGGAAGAGAAGGAGAGAAATATCAATGTGCGGTTGTCTCTCCCGCGCCCCCCGCCGCTCCAATGGGGACCTGGCCAGCAACCCAGGCATATGCCCTGACTGGGAATCGAACTGGCGACCCTTTGGTTTGCAGCCTAGGCTCAATCCACTGAGCTACACCAGCCAGGGCAATAACAAAAATATTAATTACAGCTTGACCAGTGTCCCACTCCCTGGCACCTTTATCAACAACTTCCTGTGGAACTTCAGGCCATCTGCCTTACCCTCCTGGTCCTCCTTCCTTTGGCCCACTAGCAAATGTAGAGGACCACACCTGAGCATCTGTTACTTGAAAAGAGTCAATGGGGAGGGGTGGAAAAGAAATTAGAGATGGCAGAGCCACAAGTGTCAACGTCAAGGAGGAGGTGAAAAGGAGTGGAGGGGCCTTGAGACCTAGGCTCCAAGAGGAGTTAAATCAGCTTTCAGAAGAGACTTAAATATCTACAGTCAAGACAAACGGAATTAGAGGCGAACTAACCCTGCGCAGGCCCAGGGAGGAGACTAGGGTTCCCTCTTCGGCTCACCCTGCCGCCTCTGCTAGACAAGGGCCAGAGGGACAGCAGAGTACCCCGCACGAGGAGCCTCCCTTCTATGATCCCCTCTTGCTCGTGAGGCTCCCAGAGCACCCTCGAATGGTCTAGTAGCCCACCTTCTGAAGCCGTCAAGCCTCCCCTCGCTACCGGCCCAGGGCCCGGTCGAACCTAGAAAGTGGGTGCCAGCTGCGGGTTAGATGCCAAGACAGGGAGGGCTGCCAGACCTCTCGAGACTGGCTCTCCTCGCCACTGGCTCTCCTCGCCACCGTTCTCACCTCCTTGTCCGCTGCCTTCTCCTCAATACCTAGCAACGCGTACAAGTCCATCTGTAAGAGCTCCTTGGTCACCGCCATGGTTCCAACCCTGACTGGACTCGTACTACAACTCCCAAGTCTAGGCGTGCGCGAGGACTGTCGGCGCTGCTCAGGCTGAATGACGCTTAGCCTCCTGGGAAATGTGTTCCGGGTCGAGCTTGACTGCCTCTGAGGGAAGCGGGCCACAGTGAATGAACTACGACTCCCAGCAGTCCCCGGCTCCCGCCGCTGTCGCTCTCCGATCAGGGTAGGGGGGTCGCAAGTCCTTTGCGGGAGACCGTAGCTGGACGGTGCGAGTGGGCGGGGGGGGGGGGGAAGGGGCGGAGCTGAGTGAAGGTCCAAGGGGCCCTGAACCTTGCAGGTGTGGTCGCAGCTCTGCTGATCCAAGCCGCGCCACGCCGGGAAACCAGGATGGAGAGTAGGTGCTACGGCTGCGCTGTCAAGTTCACCTTTTTCAAGAAGGAGGCAAGTCATCTCTCCCCGTGCGCTGGAGGGCCAGGGAGGACGCAGAGTGGAGGGAAAAACACGGGACTTGAAGCCCGTAGATTGGTTTTACTGCCCCTTTCCAGCACTATGGTTTTGATTAAGTCACTGAGCCTTAGTTTTCATTTCTGTAAAATGGGACTAACGCTCCCTCGCTTGCGGGGCTGGTGTTGTGGGTCCAATGAAGTGCTGGAGGTGAAAGTTCTCTATAAACTGTAAAGCACGCTCCTGTCGTTTTTGGAAAGCTAGACTTTTTTGTGTGCCAAGTGTAGGCACCAGCTGTTTCGTCTCTTCAGCCCTGCTTCTCCGCAGCCCTGTGATAACACTCTCTACAACCCCAAGCCCCGTTACTCTCTCCGCGCTGGAATCTTCATCATCACTAAACCTGCCTTTCCCAGGCTCCTTGAGTTAGATTACCGGCCTTTTTCCTGCCCGCAGGGCACCATAGCAAAATCTCTGTGTTCAGCACAGACCATCCAGGTTTCCCTGGTAAACTGCAGGCTTCCTCTGCTTCAGCTGTGACCAAGAGATAGGAACTAAATAGGATGAATAAAGAGCACGTTAGGAGGCTGATAGTACTTAGAAACCTAGATTTGGAAATCAGGGTGGCCAGCATTCAAATTTGAGCTCTGTTGTCTTTTTATTAGTGATATTGATTTTAGAGATAGAAGGAAAGGAGGAGAGAGAGAATCCGTCTCATTCACAGGGTGACCTGTGTTTGGGCGAGTAATGTAACCTCTCTGACCCCACCTAAAATAGGGCATCAGGATCATATAAAATAGTGTATAGAAATTGTGAGAATTAAATCAGCTGATGAATGTTAAGTAGTAAGCTTAGTGCCTGACACACAGTAAGTGCTTAATAAATGGAGGCTATTATTATCATTCCATCCTGAGGCAGGCTTCCCTCCAGGTCTGCTAGAACAGAGGAGGCATGAGCTCTGCATTCTCTCTGATTCTCCTTTGTTAAAGAGTCAGTGAGCAGGGAGGGGGCTTTGCCTATTTGTCTTCTACATTCCAGTGTCAGGGAATTGAAGACAGAGTAGAAAGAAAGCATGGAGATTTTGCGTGAAGCTTGACTTGATTTGAATGAAAGACTGGAGACTGAGGAATCACTTTACTCTCCACCCTCGTGTCTCCCCAGGCCTCAGGGGCCCCACTCTTCATCCTCTTCTAGCAGCTGGTCACAACTTTAGTGTGTTCTGTGTGTGTGTGCTCAGAGAGACCTAGGGAAGAGCCTGCAAGGGCAGCTGAGAGGTGGATAACGCTGCTTTGTGTTTCTTACAGAATGGCTGTAAGAACTGTGGCCGGGCCTACTGTTCTGGCTGCCTTAGCTTCAGTGCAGTGGTGCCCCGGGCTGGGAACAGCCAACAGAAAGTCTGCAAACAATGCCATGAGGTCCTAGCCAGGTGAGGAGCCAACTTGGTGAGGATTCAGCCAGGTATGGCAGCTGGCAGCTGGCCAGGCCTTGCAGCCTGTGCTCTGTGGTCAGAAGTCAGCCCAGGGAGTGTTTGAGGTCGGTGGCAATGACTGGCAGATGGCAGGACTTCTGAAACCAGATTTCTTTCCTACAGAGGATCTTCTCCTGCCAATGCCTCCAAGTGGTCACCACCTCAGAACTATAAGAAGTAAGTGGTGAAGGGACAGAGACAAATGTGGATGGGGAAAAGACAAAGGAGCCCCAGGGCAGTGCTCTCTTCCCATTCTCTAGATCAGATGAACACGGGGTCAGGAGAATATCCACCTCCCAGGCTCCTGCCTGACTTCTTGAGATCAGAAAGCAGTTCATTAGCCCTCTCCCCAGAGAAAGTTCTTGATAGACATTGCCCTGTCACTTGGACCCTCCATCTGGGCAGCTAGGTTGAGTTGCAGGACAGTGTGCTGAGGGCCACAGAAGATTGTTCATCAAAGGCCTCTCTAGGTGCCTAGAATGATTTGAATAGGAAAAAGTGAGTGGGTTCCTTCACCCCTCCTTTCTGCCTTCTCCAAGAGCATTTATCCCATGTCCTGCCAGGCGCGTGGCAGCCTTGGAAGCCAAGCAGAAGCCCGACGCTCCCCAGAGGCAGGGACTGACCAAGCAAGACCAACTCATCGCTGAGCGCCTAGCACGGCTCCGCCAGGAAAAGAAACCCAGTGAGTACAGGCAGGCAGCATGGCCTAAAGGCTCCGGGTACTGGGATTTCTCTGGATCTTACATGGTTCCCCATGCCACTTGCAGAGTCAGTGCCCTCACAGGCAGAGATAGAAGCCAGGCTGGCTGCGCTCAGAGATGAACCCCAGGGTTCCATCCCTTCCACCCGGGAGATGGAGGCACGGCTTGCTGCACTGCAAGGCAGAGTTCCACCTTCTCGGACCTCCCAGCCGGTAAGTGCTATGGCTTGAGAGGGAAGGGGGTCCTAGTACTTATATGCCTAAGTACTCTGTAGGAGTTGGCACGCTTCTGACCCCCAACTCCAGATTCTAAGGTCTGCTGCCAGGCCAAGGAACTAGAAACAGGCAGGTTTGGATGGGGCAGGAAAGAGTGGCCCCTCAGCCCTATTGGGCAATGTCAGACCTATTCGATTTTGTGGGCCCTGGATTAATCCCCCTTTCTCTGAGCTTTGGGAACTCCAGCATTGACCTCTGACATAGACTGCTCCAGACCTTAAGGTATGGCTTCCCCACATCCTAATCCCCACTGAGGCTCTCCCCTCTGAGCAGGTGCATCAAACACCAGATACCAGGACCCAGGCCCAGCAAGCACAGGATCTGCTGACACGGCTGACCGCAGAGGTGGCTATTGATGAGAGCTGGGAGCGAGGAGGCCAAGGTAACTTCTCCACCTGGGCCCCCAGGGACCGGCCCTCTCTCCCCAGGTGGGGGGGTCAGCTACCCACCCTTTGGGAGGTGAACAGAAATCAGAGAACAATCAACACTATAAGAGATACCATTTATTGAGTGTTTACTTCATTGGGAGCCAATATAAGCCTCGTGGGTGAGTGTGTGGGCTTTAGAATCAGTCAGGGATTCTCTGTCCTACGGCTTACTAGTTGTGTGACCCTGGGAAAGTGTCACTTTCCTCATCTGTAAAATGGAGGTGCATGTGGTAAAACCAGCCTCATGGGGAAGTTGTGTGGAGTAAATGAAATAATCCAATAAGCTCTTAGGACCCTGCCTGGCTCACAATAAGTGCTCAGCGAATGTTCTTTGAATGATGATGCTAAGGAGGAGGAAGAGGCTATTTAAATTTCACTAAAATTCAGCCCTGGTGTGGCTCAGTAGATTGAGCATTGGCCTGCAAACCAGAGGGTCACTGGTTCCATTCCCAGTCAGAGCACGTGCCTGGGTTGTGGGCCAGGTCCCTGGTGGGGGGGTGCACAAAGAGGCAACCACACACTGATGTTCCTCTCTTCCTCCCTTCCCCTCTCTAATAATGGATAAATAAAATCTTTAAAAATAAATAATTTAATTAAAATTTGGTCCCCTTAGCGGTACTGGCCATATTTCAAGTGCTGGCTACCATCTTGGACAGCACAAATGTAACCATGATATGGAATATTTCCATCATCATAAAAAATCCTGTTGGACTGTGCTCTTCAAAGGCTTCAGAACAGTGGTTTTCAGCCCCTGTCAGGGTCCATTTGACAATGTCTAGAGACCCTTTGATTATCACAACTCAGAAAGTATAGCTGGCATCTGGTGAGCAGAAGCTAGGGGTGCTGCTAAAACGTCACACAGTGCACAGGAGAGCTCCACAGCAAAGACTTATCCTGCCCAGAATGTCAACAGAACCGACATTGAGAAACCCTGCCTTAGTGACACAGTCTCATCAAACATCCTCAGCAATCCCATGAGGTACATGCTGTTATTACCCGCACTGTATAAGTGAGGAAACTGAGACCTGGTAAGCTTAAGGACTTGATCAAGGTCACAGCTATTAAGTAACAAAGCTAGGACTTGAACCCAAAGCTGTCTGCTTTCAAAACTCTTGCCCTAAGACTGAGCTGAAGAGAACATGTCAAAGCCATACCCACTCTCGCAAAATTCTTCTAAACTAGCAATACACAAGACCTCAGATTCTGTCATGTCTGCTCTGTGCTGCTCCCTGGAAATGACAGTTCCAGCCTGTAGGGCAGGGGCGCCAGCTGAACCTTGGCCTCCCCGTGTCCTGATCCCTTTCCTAAGGACAGCCTGTTAAAATATCAGGTGGGTGGGGACGAATGTGGTTGAAAAAACATCTAAGATCACCAGTTTTTTACATTGGGAGAAAAATGGAGGAAATACTCACTTGTAGCATAAACCACAGGAGCTAGTGCTGAACAAAAAGCTGACGATATGTGGGTTTTTATTAAAAAGTTGAGAAATGGGCTTAGTGGCTCCTGATGAGAGATCTTGGAATGTCTCTGCCTCTCTGACTGCACTGCTCCTTCCAGGTACATCCATCCAGAATGACCTCAACCAGGGCGGACCAGGGGGCCAGAGCACTGATTCCAAGGGGCAGGCCACCTGCTCCCTGGATGGGGAGAAGAGCAGGCTGCTGGCAGAAGCAGCAGCCAAGCTGCAGGAGGAGAACTCGAGGCAGGAGCAGATTCTGGCCCTTGCCAAACGCCTGGCTGTGCTGCAAGGACAGGACCCTGACAGAGGTAGAGACTGGGGAGCAGCCCCTGACCTCCACCCCCAAGCCAAGCTCTGCAGAATGGCTGCCAGGCTCAGTGAGGTGCTGGGGGTCCCTGTGCCCAGGGGTCTGTGGAGCTCTGCCCAGAGCCCGGAGGACAACTGGAACAAGGCAGTGGTGGAGGAATAAGTGGCAGCCATCAGTGGGCAGGGGACCCTTAGTCCTGTCAGGCGCAGAGCCTTTTGTTCCCGCCCCCAGCCCCGCAGGGTGGAGCAGGGAGGGGCAGAGTCTGGTCAGTTTGGCTGCAGAGACTGCTCAGCTCTGGAACAAGTGCCCTGGAAACCGAACCAGGTCCTGGTGGCAAGAGAACAGCCACTCAGGCAAACTCTCAACCTCACTCCTCCTCCCTTGCTCTTACCTCTGTCCCTCTTCAAGTGACCCTCCAAGACTATCATCTCCCAGACAGTGATGACAGTGAGGATGAGGAGAAAACTATCCAGAGAGTCCTGCAACAGGTGAGCCTGCCCCACCCACCCGACCACCTCTGCCCTGTCCCTGCCTCATTGCCCCACCACCCACCTGGCCCTGTTCAACCTGCCTCCACTCTGGGACTGAATGGCCAGTCACTCCACAGCTGCTGTTCTAGCTGGGGCCACCCTGTCCCTGTGACCCAGACTTGTACCCTGGCCCCTTGAGATGGGGTGTCAGCAGCCACAAGCACCAGATAAAGGAAGACGGGTTGAGAAGCTAAGGCCACAGACCCTTCGGGGGTGTGGGGGCAGACCTGGGCCACGAGTGAGGAGCTGTACCTCTTTGCCCTGTCCACAGCTCACTGAAGAAGCTGCCCTGGACGAGGCAAGCGGCTTTAACATCCCTGCAGAGCCAGTTCTCCAAGCCCAGGCCAAGGCCTGCAGGGCAGAGCCTGAGGTGAGAAAAGCCCCAGACAAACCCCTGGGTGGTTTCCACATGCTCCCTCTTGACTGGCCAACTGCCCCGGGAGCCGCCCTCCCACCCATACCCCATCAGGTACCTTCCCCCATTCCCCTCTGCTCCCCAAAGGCACAGGCCACGGCCCCCAGGCCTGCAGCTGAGGAAGAAGAGCTCCCCTGGTGCTGCATCTGCAATGAAGACGCCACCCTGCGCTGCGCTGGCTGCGATGGAGACCTCTACTGTGTCCGCTGCTTCCGGTGGGTGCAGGTGGAATGTTCTGCGGGACTTTTAGTGCTCAAGGCCTACCTGTGATCTCTGATCTGCATCTCCTTGTTCCACAGGGAAGGCCATGATGCCTTTGAACTTAAAGAGCACCAGACATCTGCTTACCGCCCCCCACATGCAGGCCAAGTGCACTGAGGAAACCCTGGTCCTCCAGGAAAGGCAGTCACACAGGCTGTGACAGCCACTTCTGGGCCCAGCCTCAGGGTGTCTGCTGGGAGAGCATGTCGGGCTAGGCTGCTCAGGGGTACACCCTGTCCTGAGGCTCGGTGTCCCTGGAAAGAGGAAAGACTTTCCATCAGAGATGCTGAATGGAGGAGCCAGAGGGAGGCAGACGGCCGGAGCCCTCTACCAGCAGAGCTCGGACTGGAAAGACCAAACTGAATCTGAGGATGAGCCTTGAAACCTGCTCAAGTGCCCTAGCACTTAGTGTATCAAATAAAGTGTGTTCGCTCCTTGGACTCAGCATCTTTTATCTCTAGAATCCTGTGGACCCTGAGTCTGGGCCCTTAGGGGGTAAAGGCAGAGTAGGCTCTAAGTCCAGTCCTGTGGAGAGACGGAAAGGACTCTGCCCTCAAGTAAGATTCTCCAGCCTGGAACAGTAACCCCCTCTCGGAGGCCTCGTGGGCAGTAGGTGTGAATATTCGTTCATCTGAGCTGAACTGTGCATCCTGCTCTGGGCAGCCCAGCTTGGCCCTTAGTCGCCCCCACATTGGGCTGTCGGCCTCTAGCACGCAGACCCCGCAGACCCCAGACGCACAAACAATGGATACAGACCCTGCTTTCTGCCCTCCTCCCGAAGGGCACTGCCTCCCAGGGCTCCTGTCCCAGCCTGCCGCTGTGCTGACTCAGTGTCTGTTTCCAGCAACTCCTTCCTGACCTGACCCCTGACCTCTTACCCTGTACCCCTTCACAGCCCTCTGCTTAGCCCTTTCTTTTTCTCTTCCTCTGGCTGGAGCCAGCTCCAGGAAGAGTCCTCAACCTCAGGCCTCCTGCCTGCATCATTTAGGGGGTAGGAGGGTTTAGGCTTCCCCGATGCCCCAGATCCAAGTTTTTTCCCATTACCTCTCTGAGATTCAACACTAGTCTTTGCCACTTGGGCTCTTCTCGTTGATGCCAGGATGCTTTGTGTCTTAGCCTCTGGGCCTTGGTGGATTGTGGTCTCCCTGAAGTAGAATTGTGACCTTCATCTTTAAATTCTCAAGGACTGGTTGGATGTTTGGATGCATGGGGCGTGTGGATAGAGTGCAGTGACGCAGGATGCTGGTGTATCACATCACCCCCCCTCCCCGCTCAGCCCATATACACTCCACACTCCATGCAGCTGGGGCTCCTAAAGGTTTTATCCATTTGGCTGTCAAGGGAAGCACTGGGCAACAGTGTGGCTGGCTCACCGAAACCCAGATGACAAGGACTAGCTGTAACTGTATATACAATAGGGATGTCCAAATGTCCCTCCTCATCTTCCAGTGTTCCCTGTCCATGTCCCAAGCAGCCGCTTCCCTCTCAGCCTGGGACCCAGAGACTCAGAGGCCCAACAGTGCTGAGGCTGCTGACCGTAGTCTCCCGTGTCTCACTTCTGAGGCCGGCTGAGTCTCCGGAGCTTCTTGAGTTGACTGAGTAACTCAGAGATAAAAGGCTGAGGGAGAAACAGGTAAGATTAAAGCATGGAGCCACGCCCACCCACCACACTGTCCTCCCTTATTTCTCCCTGACCCCATTATCTCCCTAGAGCCAGGGGAGGGGAAAAGATGTGAGGCTGAGCTTCCCTTCCATAGCTGCCCCCCACCGGGTATCCTCTTACCCCCGGACAGTAAAGCACCCTTACCTCTGTGGGGCGGGGGCAGTCTCGGAGAAGAGCCTGGGTAGAAAACAGACAGTGGGTCCCAGAGCCACAGCACTTTCCCACAAGCCCCTGCTCAGTCTTCCAGGAATTCTTCCCTCTGATTTGGTTCTCCCCACTCCACCCAGGGAGGCAGAGCTCGGGTTCCTGGGTTCCCCTCGGTTCAAGCCCAGCTTCCAACCTCAACCCCAGGGCCTGGGGCCCAGTCTCCCAATCTACCTCCAACTGAGTTTTCTGCTCCTCTGTGGAGAGTTCCATGAGTGCCTCCAGGTCAATGTCAGGCTCAGAAGGGGTTGGTTGATCCTGTTTGGGAATCACACATGAGGCTCAGAGAGGCCTGGCCGGCCAGTGCTGGATTGGAGGTCGCTGTCAAGGCGAACCCATTGCCCACTCTGTTGCCCATGTTCAGTCCCTGTCCTCACTCAAACCACACATTCATTCTTCCACCACAGCGACTGAACACCTACTGTATTCCACCTGGAACAGCACCAGAGTTCTTTAAAAAGAATGCATTTAATTTCAAAAGTTATATACATTGTTGGTAGGGATGCAAAATGGGGTGCAGCCACTTCGGAAAACAGTTTGGCAGTTCCTTAAAACGTTAAATATACAGCTATCCGACCCAGTGATTCTGCTCCCAGGCTGTTTGCAAGAGAAATGGAAACGTGTGTCCACACAAAAATCTGCACATGAGTGTCGATAACAGCATCATTCACGCTGGCTAAAGAGTTGAAAACAAGGCAAATGCCCATCAACTGATGGATAGACAAATAAAATATGACATAGCCATACAACATTATTCATCAATAAAAGGAATAAAGTACTGATTCATGCTACAATGTGGATGAACCTTGAAAACATCGTTAGTCAAAGAAATCAGTTAGAAAACGCTACCTATTTTATGATTCATTTTGTATGAAGTGTCTAGAAGAGGTAAATCCGTGGAGACACGAAGTGAGTCAGTGGTTTCTTAGGGTGGGAGTGGTGGTGGTAGAGACTGAGGGGTGCCTGCTGATGGTACAGGATTTCTTTTAGGGGTGATAAAACGTCCCAGATTAAAATGTGATGGTTGTACAACCATGTGAAGATACTTAAAACTACATAATTTTCTACTTTAAGTGGGTGAATTGTATGGTATGTGGAATAAAGCCATTTCTAAGGTTATTATAGTCATTGAAAAAATTTAGATTGTAGATGTTATAAAATTAAAGATGAAAGAATCTCAAGAGAATAAGACAAACCACAGACTGGGAGAAAATATTGTCAAGAGATACATCTGACAAAGAACTGTTATCCAAAATACACAGCCCTGGCCAGTGTGGCTCAGTTGGTTAGAGCATCATCCTGTGGACCAAAAAGTCATGGGTTCAATTCCTGGTCAGGGTGCATACTCAGGTTGTGGGTTCAATCCCCAGTCGGGATGTACACGAGAAGGCAACCAATCAATGTGTCTCTCTCAACAATAAACAAACAATTAAGAAATGGGAAAAAGATATAAACAGATGGCTCACCAAAGAAGATACGCAGATGTCAAATAGTATCTGAGAAGATACTTAATAGCTTATGTCATTAGGGAATTGCAAATGAAAACATTTAGATACCAATACACAGCTATTAAAATGGCAAAAAATCTAAAACACAGACAATACCAAGTGCTGGTGAAATTAAAGAGGTAACTCTATAATTGCCCAAACCCATGACCTTGGCGTATTGGGATGATACCCAAATCAACCGAACTACCCAGCCAGGATGAAAAATAAAATATTTTAAATGAAAAATTTACTGGATGGAATTAACAGCATACTTGCAGAAAAAAAGGATCAATTGAACTGGAAGATACAGCAAAAGGAAATAGCCCTGGCTGGTGTGGCTCAGTGGATTGAGTGCCTGCCTGCAAACTGAAAAGTCATCAGTTCAATTCCCAGTCAAAGCACATGCCTAGGTTGCAGGCCAGGTCCCCAGTTGGGGGTGTGCAAAAGGCAACCAATTGATGTATCTCTCACATATTGATATTTTGCCCCTTCTCTTTCTCCCTCTCTAAAAAAAGAATAAATAAAAATCTTTAAATTCACCCTTTTCAAAAAGAAAATGGTCAAAATGAAGCACAGAAAGAAAAATTCCTGGGGGTGGAGGGAAGGAAAGAGAACAGAGCTTTGGTGACCTGTGGAATGGTATGAAGTGGTTTAATATACATGTATGGTAATTGGAATCCCAGAAACTGGAGGATGGAATTATTATATAGAATATAGTATATATTCTAATGGTTAGAATTCTACCTCTACAAAGATATTAGTGCAGCCCCCCTCCAATTTTTTTACACTCTTCTTTTTAAACCCCACTCGAGGACATGCTCATTGATTTTAGAGAGATGGAAAGGGAAAGCAACATTGATGTGAGAGAGAAATATCAATCGGTTGTGTCTCCTACGCACCCCGACCAGGGACTGAATCTGCAACGCAGGCATATGCCCTGGCAACAGATCAAACCCATGACCCCTCAGTTTATGGGATGATGTTCCAGCCAACTAAGCTACACCAGCCAGGGCCCCCACAAAATTTTATATCACTTATGATGTTAGCTCAATGTATATAGAATATAAGGTATGTATATTACCTAGAGTCAGATTCCCACTGCAGCCTGGAGTTGAGAAATGGGCTCACCTCATAATCCAAATATTCTTTCCCTCAAGTTTTTTTTTTCAATTTTTAGAAAATGAGCAGATATATCAAACAACTGCTGAGAAGAGCAAATGCAGTACACTGTGACTCTGTACGACATGTGGCGGTACCCTGCCAGATGCTGCCAGAGTTGACCCCTTGCTCACCTCCATTCCCTCCTCAGTCCTCTTACTCCTGACCTCTCTGCCAAGGGACCAGCAATGCCATATGGCTTAGGGATGAGCGAAGTATGTTTGCTTCAAATATTCACTGACAACTGTTTCTTCAAGTTGGAAGGTTGATAGATTGTTTCTTACAATCTCACCACATTAAAGGGGCTGCACCAAAATGCTAGCTGCCAGCCGGGAAAGATGGTGTCGTGGAAGCCATAGGAAGGAAATGCTTAAAAAATCCGGGGTGGTCAGCAGTGTCCCCTGCTGATGTGTACATTATATTGAGCCCCAAGGCAGCCATCGGTGACCTTGGCAAAGCTCTCAATAGAGTGGTGGGCACAGAAGCCAGACTTCAGTGGTTCGGATGGTGATGGGAAGGGGAAACGAACACAAAGGACGTGAGGATGGACAAATTCTTCAAGAGGTCTTTTCCTAAAGGAGACATGGTATGGGCTGGTAATTAGAAGGGGGCAGATTGTTGAACAACAGTCTTTTTAAAATAGGAGAAACTTAAGAGTGTTTAAGTGCTTGCTTAGTAGCCAAATCCAGCTCCCCCTCTGACTGACAGGAGCTGTAGGGCCCCAAATCTGTTCCTTTCGGTTGGATCCAGACTTGTTTCCTCTGAGGACTGCAAAGCAGGCTGTGCACCCAATGACAGGAGGTGGGGCCCTCCAACAAAGGTTGAGTCTCCTTAAAAAAAAACTAAACAAGCAGTGTTGCATCCCTGAGACCATTTCCAGTGGTGTCATCTGAGGTAGACTGTGGGGGGTGGGGGCACTGGGGGCTGGTGTGGGGCTCTGTGAAGTTGGAACTGGGGCATGGTCAGCCTGGAGGCTCTGCCCATCCATCTCCACCCAAGGTGATCAGCCACCAGGTCTTCCCCAGTCGCTTGGCTGCTTCCTGATGAAAAGAGCAGGGGTTGGGAGAGGAATTGTTACCTGGCACCTTTGGACAATTGCCATGGCAACTGCAGGCCAGGTGTTTTATGTCCCTCATTGCCTGGAAGCTGTCCTCCCACCTGTCCTGTTTTCTGATAGTATGAGCTCATTATTGCACCACTTTCCCACTTCCCTTAATCTTGCAAAACAAGATTTGGATGTCGTTTCTTTCTTTGATGCCTGGAAGGAATTGTCCTGAGGTGCTGAAATATGAGACTTTTCATACAAGTGCACAACAATCTGAAATCGAAACTGATGGAGAGAAGGAGTGTGCTGGCGGTAGTGAAGTGCAGTGAAGGTGTCCTGCAAGGTCAGAGCAGACACAGGCCAAGAAAGTTTGCCACCTACTCTCAGCCTCAGGACATGTCCCACCTACCCCAGGATGCAGCAGGGGTCCAATACCTGGACCAAACAGATGCATGGCCCAGTGAGCCTCCTGCGACAGCCTGGGCCGCATGGATGATTCTCCCCAATCCCAACCACAGGGCTGCTGACACAGCCCTCTCCTGGAAGAATCACAGGTCCTTGTTGCCCCCAGAAGAAAACAAAAAGGGTGGGAATGGTGATTGGGGGGAAAAAGAATCAAGTCAAGAAAATCATTATTTCTGATTATTACAGGATCATCAATAAAAATAACTTTGTTATATGGGAAAAAAGGAAAAAGGAACTGAGTCAAGAAAGAGGAGAGCCCTGGCTGGTGTGGCTCAGTGGACTGAGCACGGGCTGCAAACCAAAGGGTCGCAGGTTCGATTCCCAGTTAGGGCACATACCTGGGTTGCGGGCCAGGTCCCCAGAGGGGGCCACGTGAGAGGCAGCCGAACACTGATGTTTCTCTCCCTCTCTCTCTCCCTCCCTTCCCCTCTCTCTAGAAATAAATTTTTAAAACCTTTAAAAAATGAAAGAAGAGAAACAAGGACCTTCATATGTGGATAAGGAGAACTGCTGGTTTCTGGCTTGGGTTGGTGCCAGCCACCTGCTGGAATCAACTGTGCAGCTTATTTTTAAAAAAGGCCAGTGCCTGGGCCCCACCCTAGTAGATTTAAATTAAATTCAGCTGAGGTGCAGCCAAAACACTGGCTCGTTTCTGAAGTACTTCAGGTGTGGAGAATTACTATGCGCTCAAGTAAGCGCTCAGGCTCTGTAGGCAGAGCCCCAGCTGCAGCTCTGGGTCCTGCAGCTTCCTAGTTGTGTGACCTTGGGCTAGTTACTCAACATTGCTAAGCCTCCATTTCCTCCACCAAGGTAAAACAGGGCCTACCTAAGGGAGTCACAGGGAGGCTGCATGAAATAACGCATGTCCAACGCTGGCGCTGTGCCTAGCACATGCTTAGTGCTCAAAATGTTACTCTTGCTGAAGCAGCGGTTGCTGTACTCCTCTAGGACCCCAGCTGGAGATATCTAAGAGATCTAGGTACTTCCCGTAACAAGGGGCCAAGACCCATCCTCTTCCCAGCGTGGAGTGGAGGGGAGTCAGTCAGAGCCGGGGCAGCAGCTAGATCGGCTGCTGGTGTTAGAGCTGCACACACTGATGTTCTAGTCCAGCTCTGTCCATTCTGCAATGATGAAAACGCTCTATGTGCGTGCTGACAATATGGTAGCTGCTAGCCACATGGAGCTCTTGGGCAGTTGAAATATGGCTAGTGTAACTGAGAAACTTTTAATTTTATTTAATTTAAAGTTAAATAGCTATATATGGCTGATATCTATAGCATTGGACAGTGCAGCTCTACACGTGTGTGTTGAGGATGAAGAGTAAATAAAGACATAAAATAAAGAAAAATAGCCGTTCTATTATTTCGTTTGGGCATCAAAAGATCCTAAAAGGAGATATTGTCAGGGATGTGTAGACCCTGTTTCATTGATTAGGAAACCAAGTCTCAGAAATGGTAAAAGACATGCCCCAGGTTAGGAAGAGAGTTCCAGGCAGAGCCCAGACCAGAGGGGCTGGATTTCTGGGCTGCAAACCCATGCTTCACCTGTTGGGGAAAGCTTTCTCTCCATGGGAGCACCTTGCATCCACCCTGCAGCTCATCCTGAGGCCTCAGAGCGGGCTTTCTGAGCCCCTGCTCCCCTCCCCCTGCTGAGCCCGAGGCCCCCTTGTCTCCCACCCTCCCCCATGCTACGCACCTGGAAGAGCTCCTGAACCTTGGTGTCCACCCACTGCTCCATCTCCAGCCAGCTCTGGAGCTGCCCCCGGTCGTACTTCACCGTCAGCCGGCTTGATCTCCGGGACCTGGACGCTTTGGAGGGGTCAGGGTGGGACTTGGAGTCTGTGGATGATGTTCTACTCCTCCCAGAAGCCCACTGGACCTTTTTACTCGGGCTCTCCCTGTCAGGGTTGGGAGAAGTGCAGGAAGCAGGGCTTGAAGACAGCATGGAGGGACTGGCCTGGGCAAGGAGCTGGGATAAAAAACACCAGTCAGAGCAAGGGTGTCAGGGAAGTGAGGAGACAGAAAACAGAAGAGGCCAGCAGGGGAGAAAGGCGGGAGAGAGGGCGGGAGGGCCAAGGCTCTGGGAGGGGCAGGGGTCAAAGATCAACAGGGCTTTTTGTCTGGTACCAGGAATGCCAGACTCCTGGCTCCTGGCGGCCAGCGAGTGGCACTCCTGAGCTGAGCTGTGCCCCAGCTTCCCTTTCTGAGGCCCCCAGTGACATCAACTGCAGATAAGCAAAGGTCAAGAGGGTGCCATGCCTTGGGAGGAGAAAGAGGACCTTGGGTCCCCAGGGGTGCACGCCTGTGATCTGTGCTCTCTGACCAGCTCTGGGACAGGACCCGAGTCACACCCGCTGGATAGCCCTCTGCATCCCACCTCCCTGGGACGAGGCATACCTGGCGGCATTTGGAGAGCTCCTGCAGCAGTGTCCCTGGCGGGCAGCAGCACCTGCCTCAGAGTGTGGCTCTGCGGGAAGCAGTTTCGCCCATGCGTAGTTAGGGGGTGATTACCCGTGGTCCTCATGGAGTCGGTGCCCTCTTGTGTCTGGGTGTGTCTGAATGTGAGCTGCCTTTAGGATTATGTGAGGGAAGGGGCGCTCCTGTGTTAGCCTGGCCCTGTGTGCTTGTGAAGGAAACTGTATCAAGCTTGTCTCCAACTCCCTTTCCAGAGGCAGCTGCTTAGGAAGCCATGTTTAGCACCAATGACCCTCCCCTGAATCATGTCCTTCCTGACACAGAGGACACCTGCAACCTTTTATCCAGGCGTCAGGGACTACTACTTCTAGACATCCTTGCATTCCAAGGATGCATTCCAAAGGAAGGGTATTTTTGTTTGTATAGTCCTTTGTAACAAAAATTTCTAAATATTTTTAGAAAAGTCATAGAACACTTATTATTTTTTTTTTTTAATGAACAGCTCAGAAGGACAAACAAATGAAAATGAAAGCTTCTCTTCTGACCTGGCTGGCGTGGCTCAGTGGACTGAGCACTGGACTGTAAACCAAAAGGTCGCCAGTATGATTCTCTGTCAGGGCACATGCCTGGGTTGCAGGCTGGGTCCCTGGTTGGGGGTGGCAACTGACTGATGTTTCTCTCCCTCTCTTTCTTCCTCCCTTCCCCTCTCTAAAAAAATGTTCTACTTGCCCTGGCTGGTGTAGCTCAGTGGATTGAGCACGGGCCTGCAAACCAAAAGGTTGTTGGTTTGATTCTCAGTCAGGGCACATGCCTGGGTTGTGGTCCAGATTCCCAGTAGGGGATGTGTGAGAGGCAACCACACATTGATGTTTCTCTCCCTTTCTCCTTCCCTTTCCCTCTCTATAAAAAAACTAAAACTAAATAAAATTTAAAATAAAAAAATAAATGTTCTACTTAATTTATCATCTTCTATGATTAAAAGGAAGAATTCTTCAAGAATGCCCCTTTTAGGGCTGCAGCAGTGTCTGAGAGGAAGTGTCTCTTTTAAATAAAGATTAAGGCCCGGGCTAGTGTGCCTTAGAGGATTGAGCACCAGCCTGTGAACCAAAGGGTCGCTGGTTCAGTTCCCAGTCAGGGAACATGCCTGGGTTGCAGGCCAGGTCCCCAGTAGAGGGCTTGAGAGAGGCAACCACACATTGATATTTCTCTCCCTCTCTTTCTCCCTTCCTTCCTCTCTGTAAAAATAAATAAAATCTTTAAAAAAAATAGTACCTACTTTCTTGGTTTGTTTGAGTATATGAGGCAATAGGTGGGAAGTGATGAGAAACAGAATTTGGGCACTGTCAGTTGGGCCTGATAAAAGTAGGATTTTTGGTAATAGTGTGTATAATGGATGTAATATAAATTGCGGTGATGTAATATTACCCATAAGGAAATAGTCTCCTGTGTTAGGACTCTCGTGTATAATGTATGCAGGGAGGCAGGAATCAAATCACAAAACCCTTTCTTCCCAGTAACTGCACAATCATTTACTTCATTGCCAGCATATCATCACTGACTACCCTATGTCCACCGCTGTGCCAGGGGCTGCGGAAAAAACTCAGAAACTCCAGAGAAAGGGAGACAGACTCCAGATTCTCACCCTTATGTGGGCCAGTTATGTGGGCTGGGAGATGTCGCAGTTCAGCCAAAAAAATGACCAAATGGTTGGCAACAAGACCTAGCAGGTAAAGCTGATCTAGAGAAATTAGGAAGAATGTTCCCATGGGGGGAGGGGGGGGCATGAATGTTAAGTGACATGAAAAATGTGTGGAATCTCTTTTGTGGGGAGACCATTAATAGAATCAATCTTGCTCTGTAAGGAATGATTTTTTAGAGGGATTCTTCATTCAGGGAAAGCGATGAGTATGGCTTCAAGGAATCCACGGTTCTGTGAAGCTACTCAGCTGCTTTGGTGAGCCGGAACCTCTAGCTTCCAAGGACAGCATTTCACTGGGAGAGAGTGGCCAGCTCCAACCCGGGCACCCCTTAGTGGTACAAGAGAAGAACCTGCGGCCTGGGGAGGGAGCAGCAGACCCTTGAGCGCTGACAGGGACTCGGCTCCGACAGAAACCACAAAGGACACAGACGAGTAAACGTTAGTACAAGTCGAGAGAGGGCGTCGAACAAAGGGTACCGCTGCGGACGAGCAGAGAGGCCTGGCAGCGGGGCGGGGGGCGGGGGGCGTCCCTCGTGTCTCCCGGCGGCAGAAGGAGGGCTTCCCGGGCGGCGATAGGGCGCCGGCACCGATTCCGGTTATCACAGGTGCAGCCGCACAGCTTCTGGGACCTCTTACGCCACCAGATGTAAACTACTTCTCCGGGGCTGACGACGACGGCAAAGCCCTTTGCGTCGGGCTTTCCCCATTTCTCCACCGCCAGCCTGAGACGAGGCCCGGACCCGAAAGGGAGCCGGGAAGCAGCCTCCCCAGAGCGCCTCGTCCCGAGGCGCCAGTCTTCCTCCCCGGCGCGTCCTGGCGCGTCCGGACCTTCAGGGAGCCGGGCGCCGTGCTGGGGCGCGGGCTCCCCCCACCCCCCGCGAGCTGGACTCGGTGGAGTCGGCGCAGAGCAGCGGCCTCCAGGGGTGCGGCCCGGGGCAGGGCGTCCCGGGCCGCGAGGGAGGAGGCGGGGATCCCGGGGCCGCGGGGCAGCTGCTCCCGCGGCTGGAGAGGGAAGCGCCGACCCAAGCGCCAGGGGCGTGGGCGGGGCGGGCGCGCTGGGGTTAATGCCCGCCCCGCCCCGGCCGCGCTGACTCAGTTTCGCCAGAAACTAGGGGGTGGAGAAGGCCGGTCAGAAGCACACCCCGCACCTGAGCGGAAACGGCCACTGGGGGCGCGCAGGAAGCTGGGGCCGGAACCTCAACAGCGCGAGCTCCACCCAACTCACCTGCGCAGGTAACCGGGGCCCCGGAGGCGGAGCGGACTCGGAGTATGTTTGGCCCTTTGTTCCGCGCTCGTCCGAGTGTCCGGGTACGTGACCTCCCTAGCAGTCCCTCTGGCCGTGGGTCTGGCGGCCTGGTCTCCCGCGGTGCTCCGTGCTCCCCGGCCCTCCCTTTCGCTTCCTCCGCGCTGGCCCGCCCCCCTTGAAGTCTCCCCGGCCGATCCGGTTCCCCGGCTGATCCAGTGCGCCTCCTGCTCTGTCTCCTCCCCTCTCTCAGGTCGCAAGCACCCTCGAAGCCCAGAGCCCAGCACTGTGAAGGTGACCCCCGTGGGCAGGAGGGCGACGGCCCCTGGGCGGACGATGGCTGGCGCCCCCCTCTCCCAGGCTTGCATCCCAGCGGTCGCCGTGTGGCTCCTGTGTGCTCTCGGCCTCCCGGGCACCGCCACCGCCGCCGCCGCCGGGCCGCCGCCCACGCCCCCCGCGCAGCCCGACGGAGCCTCCTGCTTGGACCGCTTTACCCCCGGGGTGCCCGCTTTCGTACTTGACACCGAAGCCTCGGTCAGCAACGGGGCCACCTTCCTGGGTTCACCCACCGTGCGCCGCGGCCGGGACTGCGTGCGCGCCTGCTGCACCACCCAGAACTGCAACTTGGCGCTGGTGGAGCGGCAGCCGGCCGGCGGGGAGGACGCCGTGGCCGCCTGCTTCCTCATCGACTGCCTCTACGGGCAGAACTTCGTGTGCAAGTTTGCGCCCAAGGAGGGCTTTGTCAACTACCTCACCAGGGAGGTTTACCGCTCCTACCGCGAGCTGCGGACCCAGGGCTTTGGAGGTGAGACGGTGGTGCGGGGATGGATGGATTTGGGAGACTCGGAAAAGGGCGGATTATGGAGTCCTGGAAGAGTCGAGCTTCAGCAGGGCGTCAAGAGCCCCACTCTACCCCAACTCCTCCTTAGAAGTAGGCAGTGTGAGCGGTAAACAAATGACTAGGGGGGAGTGAGGCGGGGTGACATCCTAAAGCCCAGACTTGCCCCTGGATTCAGGGTGCTGTTGAGTGGGTTGGTGCCCTGGGATGTGCGTATGGGGTGGAGGAGGCACCTTCCCTGGACTTCTGGCCCTGAAATGCTGAGTCAGCGAGTGAGCTGTCTGGAGGCTGCCTGGTGAGTAGCAGGTACCCTCTGGGCCAGCCACCCGCCCTAGCCAAGCATGCTTTGAGGCACCTTGAGGCCCTGTCAAGTGGGCCTGGTGAAGTGTTTCCTCCTCCACTGATGGACTTGGGACTGGCTAGCGTGTCTGCACCTCTTCCCCCGACCTCTCGGCCTTCTGTGGTCAGGGAAAGCTGTCAGACCCCAGAGCCTAAAGAACAAGTCCAGTCCAGGGTCTACCCAAAAGGGGAGGGGGTGCTGTTGTGAGCACAGTAGCCAGAGGCTCTGGAGTGGGGGTGCGAAGGACTGCTGGGTGAGTCAGTTCGCCAGTATGTATACCCGGTAGGGGAGGGATGTCAGGTGTGTCCGGGCAGGTGTGTGTGTGAGCCAGGCAGACCTTTCTCCCTGCTGAGGATCTGGTAACCAGGCTGTCTGCTCATCTTGTTTACTTCTGTGGATAAGGGCAAAGTGGGGGTCAGGACTCCTCCTCTTTCCTCCTGGGACTGAGCAATTAGCTGGGATCAGGGATCCTCCAGAAGCCTTCATTCCGCATTCCCTCCACCTGCTGTTCTGGCCAGGCGGGGCTCCAGGGCAGGGATGGGCCTCCACTGATAACCTCGGCTAGCACTTCACCGCCTTCTGATTGCTGTACCATTCCACCTGTCGCTGAGGCCTCATGATAGCCAGCTCGGAAAAGGGTGCTATTAGTAGTCATCCCACTTTTCAGATTAGGAAACTGACTCTCCTGTTGCATACATGGTAGACCTGGGACTCAGCCCTAGGCAGGACCTCCAAAAGTCCTGTGCTGTTTTTCGCACAAGACCACCTTTCTGGAAGAAACCTGTCTCTGAGCCAGGGACTGGGGATCCCAAGGGCCAGGACTGGGCTGGGGCTGAGTCCAGGAGTGGTCTCACTTCTGGAGAGTGGAGAAGGGACTGTCCTCTCCAGTCCTTTTCTGGACTAACCTCTCTCCTGGGTTAAGGACCCACGCTTCTCCCTATTCCTTCGAGGTGCTCTCCTGGGTGACTGGGATGGGGATTCTAGGAGGGGGCACCATCTCTGGGCCAGGCTGGGCCACCGAATCCCACTGGGCCAGGGCCTGAGCCTGTTTCACAGGAAGTAGCAGACAGTGTAGGTGGTGATGACTCTAATTGACTTGAGTCCCATTCCCGGCCAGTGCCCAAAACTTTGGGGTCTGGTCAGGGAGCTGAGCTGGATGGGCCACATGGTCTTGGAACCAGCCTTCCTCACTGCAAACCTTCCCACCCCCAGACTGTCCTGTTGAGCACAAGACAGGATGGAGGGGGGATTTCCTGGGCACTTAGGAAGCTGGGTGGGGCGTGGACTGAGTGTGAGCTCCAGGCCATTTTCATTGTGCTGCAGTGCTTTGAGGAGTGGGAAAAGCTGTGTGGTGTGAAGGAATCCATTCTCAGTTGAGTCCCCTGGAGAGGTTGGAGGAGGGTGAGAGCAGGATAAAGCCATTATGTCAGGCAAGGTGGGTAGGTGCTTGGGGCTTCTAAACCTTTGATTCTTGTATTAGGTAGAGAAATCCTTCCCAGGGTGGGTTGGTTTGTTCTCCTTTCCCTGCCTGTAGCCAGGCCAGTTCAGTCCGGATTCCTGTGGCCTCCTGAGCACTTTGCTGCTTCCTCTTTTCCTAACTTCTCCCCATTTCTGTTGGAGGAGTGGCTTCTGAGGTGGAGTCTATTTGCCTGGAGATGTCCTAGGGCCTGGCAGCTGGGGGAGGGGCCTGCTTTATTACCACTCTGGCCCTTTGCTCTCTTGGGGTGGGGAGAAGGGAGTGGTCAGACAGGTCCTCTGCCTCTTGCTCCTGAGCAATGGGGCTTGAAGATGACCAGGGTCGACCAGTTGTGTGGGGGTGGACATTGCTAATTTGGCACAAAGTCTGACACATCACTCTGTCTGCCACTTCCACCTTGGGTGCCCGTCGGGCTAACCTGTCTGCCTGTTCTGTAGACTGCCCAGTCTGTCTTCTTTCCCCTTTCACGTAGCTGATCACAGTCTGTGAAATGCAAGGAGGGCAGAACGGGCTCCTCGCAGCTCACTGCCCCTTTTGCTCTGAGTCACAGAGGTCACCTCAGGGCTGGCCCCTCTTGGTCTCTCCTGATCTCCAGCCAAGCTACTGGACTGGGGGGGGGGGGGTGGTTCCAGGCAAACACTTTCCTTTCCTGCTCCCCCTGTTTTATTCCCCCCCGGCCCCTGGACACCAGAGTCCCTTTTCTCATTCCTGTAGACCTCTGCCCAGTCTGACGTGTTTCTCTACGTAAGCACTCCCCTCTCATTGCTTTGCTGTCACTGTGTGTCCTGGTCTTCTCACCTGTCTCTGACTACCCTCTGTGAGTCCCTGCTGTATCTGGTTTCACTGCCTTATCAAGGAGGAATCCCTGGACTCAGCCGCCAGCCAGCTGTTGTGATTTCTTTGCCTTCTCTTCTTTCTTTGAACTCTCTCGTGCATTGGACATGCACTCTGTAGAACCTCTGTGGAGAGCAGTTTGGTAGTATCCATCAAACTGTAAATGCATATTACCGCAACACAGTTCTGCTTGCAGGAATTCGCTAGGCAGCTGTACTCACCCATGTGTAGAATGGCATACCAGGCACTTGTCCACTGTAGCATTGTTTGTACCAGCGAAGAGTGGGCAGGATCATGGTGTCTGCTCGCACATCCTATAACCGGATACTGTGCTTGTACTTTAACAATAATAATACACCCTGAGGCCGCATGGTTTTGTTGTTAAAAAAGAAGGAAGGAAGAGAAGGAGGGAGGAAGGGAGGGAAAACTAAATTGAGAGGAGACTAGTAGACTAATTAAGTAAGTTGCAAATTTTGATGTATTTTTGATGTGACAGTAATATGCAACCAAGAAAGAAAAAGAAAAATTCTTTACATGGCTATGGAGTTAGTCTCAAGATATATTATGAGAAAAACAAGAATGTGTATGCTTGTGAGTCCAATACTATCTCTGTTCACACACACACATTACTAAGAGTAGGTGCCTCTGGAAAGAGGGACCTGGGGGTTAAGGAGAAGAGGGAACTTAATTCTCACCACCCTTTTGTACTTTTTGAATTTTACATCATGTACATGTATTACCTAAATTAAAAACAAAAACCCTAAGCCCTGGCTGGTGTGGCTCAGTGGATTGAGTGCTGGCCTGCAAACCAAAGGGTTGCCAGTTCAATTCCCAGTCAGGGCACATGCCTAGTTGTGGGCCAGGTCCCCAGTTGGAAGCACTCAAGAGGCAACATAATGCTTCTCTCCCTCCCTTCCCTTCTCTCCAAAAATAAGTAAATCTTAAAAAAAATAAAAGAATCCCACGATTGTAAAAGTAGTCAAAGTTACACCTCTAAGCCCTGGCTGGCATAGCTCAGTGGATTGAGCGCGGGCTGGGAACCAAAGTGTCCCAGGTTCGATTCCCAGCCAGGGTACATTCCTGGGTTGCAGGCCATAACCCCCAGCAACCGCACATTGATAGATCTCTCTCTCTCTCTCTCTCTTTCTCTCTCCCACTCCCTCCCTTCCCTCCCTAAAAATAAATAAATAAAATATTAAAAAAAAAAAAGTTACACCTCTAAGCAGGAGGGTGGCCTGCACCATGATATTTTGGAGAGAAAATGAGCTATGGAGTGAGAGTAGGGTTCAAATCCCAGCTCTGCCATACAGAAACTCAGGGGGATGTCATTGAACCTCTCTGGCGCCAATCCCTCCTCTGGAAGGAGGGGTGAGAACGCAGTTGTGGCAGGGTGTTGAGGAAGATAGGTAATGCCGATCAGGGGTGAGCAAGCTTCCCGTAAAGTTTCAAACAGTAAATATTTTAGGCTCTGTGGACCATACAACCTCTGTTGCAACTATTCAGTTCTGCTGTTGTAAGGTGAAAGCAGCCATCCGTAATGTGTAACTGGATAGGAGAGGCTGGTTTGGACACAAACTTGAATTCTGTGTACTTTTCACCTGTCACAAAATAGTATTCTTTTGATTCTTTTCAACCATTTGAAAATATACTGTGTGGTGGGCTGGATTTGGTCTGTGGGCCTCATTTGCCTACCTGTGGTGCAGATGCCAAGGGTGAATACACAGCATGGTGCCGAGTATACATCCAACAAGTGGCCCCTTTGTTAATAATTATGGCCCCAGCCCTGGCTGGCGTGGCCCAGTGGATTGAGCACTGGCCTGCAAACTGAAAGGTCACCGGTTCTATTCCTGGTCAGGGCACATGCCTGGGTTGTGAGCCAGGTCCACAGCTGGGGGGCCTATGAGAGGCAACTGAACTGGTTGGTCGATGTCACTCTCACACATTGATGTTTCTCTCTCCCTTTCTTTCTCTCTCCCTTCTTCCCTCTCTAAAAATAAAGAAATAAAAAATAAAAATAAAAAACTAGGACCCCAGGTGTATTTCCAGCCCTGGCGTCTCTGGAGCTCCCACTGTACACCTCCCTTCTGGATGGTGTTACCTTCCCCAAATTTGCCTTCTCTGTGACCGAACCCACACATTCCCTCTGGATCTGGTTGCCCTTCTGCCTGCTCCCTGCCTCTTCCTCTCTATTCCCAGCGCCAGTCAGACCTGCAGCGTCTGCCCAGTGTTGTTGTTTATGTCTTTTCCATTCCCTCCGCCGCCCCTTCCTTCAGAGCACTTCCGCTGGGTCTGCCCTGACCCACTGCACTGGTCCACTCCCCTTGCTCTTTGTTCCGAGGAAATCACTCCAAAGAGATGGCAAACAGCTATCGCCTGGAGCTCGGGAGCGGCCCTGCCACCCAGGCCCGTGGCCCCTGCCTGAGCACTCGCGGACTCCGGTCCGGAGCTGGAAGGTCCGTGTCTGCGGCAGCCAGGGCTTCCAGGACTCGCACCACTCCTCTCAGCCGCTCTGTGCCCTTCCTGCACCACCAGTGGTTAAACATTCGGGTGTCACTGCCGCTGTGTCCACGCGCCCTGGCCGGCCTTCAGGGCGCTTCGCTTCGGGGTCTGTCCGGGCCGCCGCCCTCCTCGGTTTCACACACCAGCCTTGAAACCCCCGCTGCTCCTCGCGGCGGCGCCTCATGCTTCCTGTCGTCATCAACATCAACAGCACCGCGCATTCTTTCCCACGACCAGATGAATAAAAACAAAGATGAAGGAACAAGGAAATCATTTCTCCCTTCTCTAGAATCTTCCCCTACTCTTCTGGTCTTCCAGAGGCTCTCCCGTCTCCGAATGCCCAGCCGCGTCCTTGTCCCGAACGTCAGGTCGCCGGTGGGGGCTTTTCTCCCGTGTTGCTTCGGGTTGTTGGGTCTTCCATGCGTGACTGGACTGCAGTCCCCTCGCGGGCATTACCGGTTTCCTCTGGCCGCTGCAACAAATTACTACACACTGAGTGGCGGAAACAACAGAAATTTATTGTGTCACAGTTGTGAAGGCCGAAAGTCCGAAATCAAGGTGTCAGCAAGCCCGTGCGCCCCCCCCGCCCCCCGCCCCCCGGCCCTAGAGATCATCTTTGCGCCTTCCAGTTTCTGGGGGCATCGGGCTTCTTGGCTTGTGGCTGCCTAACTCCAGTCTCTGCCTCCGTCTTCACACAGCCTTTCTTCCTACACTCTGTTCTTCTCTAATGTCTTCATTTATAAAGACATTTGTCATTGCATTTAGCTGATCCAGGATGATCTCGTGTGGAAACACTTAACTTGATGACTTCCACAAAGACCCTTTATCCAACTAACTTCACATGCGTGAGGTCTGGAGCTTAGACATGAACTTATGTTTTGGGGGACCACCGTTGAACCCACTATAGGCAGGAATCCTGCTGTGTGCTTGTCTCTCTCTTTAGCCCTAACCGGATACCCGGGAAGCCTCGAACACAGGCACTATCAGGTTGAGGGAGGGCGCGGTTCTCTCGGGCCCTCCCATAACTGCGGGCAGAGTCTGTCTGAGGTGGCAGAGGCACCCTCTTCCCGTGGCCAGTCACCCGGGGACACAAAGACTTGCCACGTTGCTGCCTGGGGACTCTGTGCTTAGGTCTCCATCAGCAGCAGCTGGGCAGCAGAAAGAGAGAGGGGTGGTGGGTGTTAATTCCATATTTACTTATTTGGCTTTTCAAAAATATTACTTTAATTTTTTTAAGCAGTTAGCATAAGACCTACTTATTGTAGAAGAGAGGAATAAGCTTCCCCTAAAATAGATACACTTTTTGCCTGAATCGGATCAAGTGGCACATGCTGTACAGTAATTTGTTTCAGAAAATGAGTCTCATAACATAAAAAGATCTTTAATATACCAAAGACATAATATATATAAACAGAGAGCAAGAAGATAATTTAGTGGTGGGTTCTCACCTATGCCCCATGCTGGCTGCCAAGTTCTAGGTTGGTCTAGGTGTGGCCCGTGTTAGCCCCTGCCCCCCAGAGAGATCTGGTCCATTCAGCAAGAGTTGACCTTACCGCTCCTTCCCCCCAGGGTCCCGGACCCCCATGCTCTGGGCAGGCATAGACTTGAAGGTACAGCCCCAGGAACCCCTGGTGCTGAAGAGTGTGGAGAATACAGATTGGCGCCTGCTGCAGGGTGACCCGGATGTCAGGGTAGAGGTGAGACACTGGTCTGGCTCCCTGACCCCACCTCGGCCCTGTTCTCCCTGGGGGTTGTGTGGCTGGGAGGGCCTAGGGGATCTCAATGGGCTTCAGGGAATCCCAGCCTAATAGCCTCTCCCATGTACAGAGGAATGATTCGGACCAGGTGGAGCTATGGGGACTCAAGGAAGGCACCTACCTGTTCCAGCTGACATTGGCCAACGCAAACCAGCCGGAGAACACGGCCAACATCACAGTCACCGTTCTCTCCACCAAGCAGACAGAAGGTGAGGGGGTTGGGGAAGCAGCACCTGGAGCCACGCCCCTCTGTCAGGCCCCTAGCCCCGCCTCACAAGCTTCCCTCCCACAGATTATTGCCTAGTGACCAAAAAGGTGGGTCGCTGCCGTGGTTCCTTCCCCCGCTGGTACTACGACCCCAAAGAACAGCTCTGCAAGAGTTTTGTTTATGGAGGTTGCTCAGGCAACAAGAACAATTACCTTCGGGAGGAAGAGTGCAAGCTAGCTTGCCACGATGTGAAAGGTGGGCCTTTGCGCGGCAGCTTTGGGGTCCAGGTGAACTTTCCCCAGGGTGGGTGGCTTCCCTTCACCAGTCAGAGAGGTGGGCGTGAGAGCCCCAAACTCCCTGGGCCCCTCCCCACTGTCAGCCTGTCCCTGCTGAGGCCTGCCTCTGTCTCCTCTCACTTCTGTTTTCTCTTCCCTAGGCCCCTCCAAGGAAAGGCATCATACAGGTGGGCTTTGCTCCTTTTCCTCTTCCCCTCACCCCGACCACATCTCCAGCCCATATCACGTCCGTGCCCTTGACCAGGCTGCTTTTGCCCAACCCATGCTCACCCTCATAGCATACCGAAGGGCCGTAAGCTCCCCACCCCTGGCAGCCCAGCATCCTCCTGTCACGACCTGCCCGGTTTGCATGCAGAAGGGTTCAAGCAGGACAGGTGGGGAGAGGGGATGTCTCATGATACTGCGCTGGGGTGGAGAGGGCCAGGTGGATGATGGACCCTGGGTACTCACTGGCCTCTGCTGGAGTGTGACCTCGCCCACCCACTCCTCCCCCGTCCAGTGTGCTCCGGCGCCTGTCAGTCCACCGAGTTCCACTGCAGCAACGGCTGCTGCATCGACAGCTTCTTGGAGTGTGACGGCACTCCCGACTGCCCCGACGCCTCTGACGAGGCTGCCTGTGAGAAATGTGAGGCCCCAGGGACTGAGGGGTGGCGGGCAGCAGAGGGGGGCTCCTGACCATCTGCCCCGCACCCCTGGGAGACTGTTGTCGGGCCTGTGCCTCTGATCTGTCATCTTTGCAGACACCAGAGGCTTCGAGGAGCTCCAGAACTTCCATTTCCCCAGTGACAAAGGTGAGAATCCCCCAGGCCCTCTGGGCGAGGGCGAGTGCTGGCACTGCCACCCTCATCCATGTTCTCAGCGTGCCGGCAGGGCCTGCTGTGTGCGCCAGGCCATGGGCAGAAAGAGCCAGAGTGAGCTCCCAACTCTCTTCTTGGGCTCTGCTTCCCAAGCAGAGCCAGCCTCTTAACACCTTCAGAAATTTAGCCATGTCCACGTATCACTGAGATGGCCTTTACTGAATATTGTTTTATTAATTGATTACTCTTTTAATTTAATGTATCAAAAAGGAAATTTCACATCACTACTATGAGTGGAAATTCACTATTATGTGCTACAACTTGAGATTGACTATTAAAACAAATATAATAAAACAATGTTAATAAATTTTAGCTGGACATAGGTGCCTGCCAAGGCTTAAACCCTGAGCTGCTCTTGTCATTATTGTTAAGATTTTATTTATTTACTTTTAGAGAGAGGGGAAGGGAGGGAGTAAGAGAGGGAGAGAGACAACAGTATGCGAGAGATATCTCGATCATCAGTTGCCTCTCACACGCTCCCAACTGGGGACCTGGCCCGCAACCCAGGCACGTGCCCTGACCAGGAGGAATCCAGCCAGCGACCTTTCAGCTTGCAGGCCAGCACCCAAATCCACTGAGCCACACCAGCCAGGGCATTCTCTTGTTAAAAGATAGATTATCCAGTGCAGGAGAGGAAACCAAGACTTTGATATAGTCAGAAAAGCTGGGAGAAGCTTGGAAAAGAAATAGTTATGTGTGTCAGGGTAGTTTACTTCTGTGCCTAAGAACATTGTTCAGGATTTGTCTTTATTGCTTCTGGCAACACTGCAGATGGGCCTGACGTTCCTGGGGCCCCGAGGCCCTTGCTGAACCACAGCCTTCCTCAGTATGATGCGGGTCAGGAGGTGGCAGGCAGCAACCACGGGGAGCCTGGTAGATGGTAGCAGGAAGGCCCCATGAACTTTCTCACCCCTTTGCCTGCACCTCACCCCCCCAGGGCACTGTGTGGACATGCCAGACACGGGCAACTGCAAGGAGAGCATCCCTCGCTGGTACTACAACCCCTTCACTGAACACTGCGCCCGCTTCACCTATGGTGGTTGTTATGGCAACGAGAACAACTTTGAAGAGGAGCAGCAGTGTCTTGAGTCCTGTCGTGGCATCTCTAGTGAGCAGGGTGTTGGAGGGGGTGGAAGATGGGAAGGGGAAAGGCTTAGCTAGAGTCCTGTGCTCTGTCCCAGAGCCTGGGCTGGTCACAGGGAGTCCTCAGAGTGCCTGAAATGGGGGTGGGAGAGGATGGCAGTGGGGAGCCTGGGGCACTGGGAAGGAGCTGAGTGTCAGCACTTACACTGACTTGTCTTCCCCCATTTTTTTGTAGAGAAGGATGTGTTTGGTCTGCGGCGGGAAAGCTCCATTCCCAACACAGGTAAGCCCTGGACTGCCCTGTTGCTGACGAGTAGTATCAGCTCAAGGATCGACTCCACGCAATTGGCTGTGACTGCCTAACTGTGTGTTCAGAAGGACTGGGGGGCTGGCTAGAGGGCAGAGTCGCAAGCAGCAGTGATACCTGCCCGGCAGAGTACGAGCTAAATGTTTGCCATCAGCCCCAGGCCTCTCTCCAAGCGAACAGCACGGGGAGCAGCCCAGAGCTGAGGCCCGAGGCCCAGCAGAGCCTCTCACTGAGCCCCCCATGGATAGAGCCGTTCAGCTGCTCGTGTGCTGGTGGTACATCCACATCAGGCATCTGTGTGACTCGGTCTTTTTGATACAGAGTCGGGGTTGGGTGTCGGAACTGAGCACGTCCTGGGAGCTCTTCATTCTACCCTTTCTTCCCCCAGGCTCCGTGGAGATGACCATTGCCGTGCTCCTGGTCATCTGCATTGTGGTGGTGGTAGCCATCCTGGGGTACTGCTTCTTCAGGAACCAGAGAAAGAGTGTCCACAGATACCACCACGGCCACCGCCACCCCCCACCCCCTACCCCTGCCAGCTCCACGGTCTCCACCACCGAGGACACAGAACACCTGGTCTATAACCACACCACCCGACCCTTCTGAGCCTGGGGCTGCCTCGGCCCTTCGGTCCAGGGCTCTCACGGGCTCTTGCCAGACCTCCTCTGGCCCTGCTTCCTCCTTACCAAGGAGGCCTAGACTGGGAAAGACTTTGGGACCAGAACCCTCCTGCCTATTTCCCAGGCCTCTCTGCCTCAGAGCCCAGGGCTCTGGTCCCTCTCAAGAGATGTCTCAGCTGAGCTCAGGCCACTTGTTCCTGAGAAAACTCCAGTGTCTGAGAGGAGCAGAGAAACTTTGAGTCAGGAGTTCTACATATAGATGGACCTGCCTTGCGTAGGATTTAAAAGGAAGTTGGAGGTTTGTTTCCTGTTCAAAGCTGTCCCACACCGGAATGTGTTGGGAAGGGGCCTGGGCAGTGTCAGAAGCTGAAGGCCCCACCCCTGACCTCCAGAGCCACCCCTCCTGCTCTGCACAGTCCAGAGCTGGGGCAAGGACCTCCCTATATATTTTATGCTGTACAGAGTTCTTATTGTTTATTTAATGCTGTGGAGGTGGATGAGAGAGCTATGGAAAGTTGCTCTCTGGCCTCTGCTGCTTCTTCCCCTTCCCCCAAGGGGAATGAGCCCCAACTTGGCCTGGCCTGGCACATGGAGCCGCAGCTGCTGCGTCCTCCCTGCACTCCCAGGGCTCTCTGGCACCACACCCCCACCAGCCCCCACTTCCCACAGGCCCCAATCCACCCACAGTGTAATAAAATGCTCTGTCCCGTGAGGCTTCTGCCTCCGCTCTGTGGGCCAGGAGAGAGACCCAGCTTCTGGGGGGGAGATGTGACCGCCCAGTCCAACCGGTTCAGGCTTTGGCCACCCTGTTTAGCAGGTTTTCCCACCCTTCCCGAAACTGCCCCTGCCCCTGAGGGTGGAGAGAAGTGCCAGGTTTGACCACCAGACGGGAGGGGTGAGAGGGCCACGGGAGTGAGGGTGCAGGGGTGCTGCGGTGCAGTGTTTCTTCGTGGCTGGGGCAAGTCTTCACTATGGTGTGTAGTTGAGGACAGGAAGTGTGGGTACACACTGGTTCTTACCTTCGCTCCCTTTGGTGTGGGGGCTAGGGACAGGGGTCCCATCTGGCCAAGGTCACTGTTCCCTTCCCACCCACAGAAGCCATGGCTTCCCAGGAGTAGCTGCTCCCCAGACTCTGAACTCCTACCCAGGAGCCTTTGATTGAGGTGGTCCACTCCACCCACACCCCTCTCTTTGAGCCACATCGTGGTGCAAAAAAAAAACATTCTTTCATTTAGTCGTCAAATAATTGAGCTCCAATGTACTAGGTACTGCCAGTCATTAGAAATTTGGTCTTGTCAAGATAGGCAGGGGCTTTGCCTGTCTCTACTTACTGTCTCGGCACACAAGCCTGTGATGAGGGCACTATTATTTCCATTTTACAGGTGAGGAAGCCGACAGCTACGCTCTCACAGTGTTAGAGCTGGTACAGGAAGACTGGATTAGACCCTAATCATGACTCCAGAGTCTAGTCTTACAGTGCTATGTGGGAGAATTAAATGGCAGTGTGAGAGGTCAGGGGCTGGTTTTAAACAACTGAAGTCTAGCCCAGGTGAATATGCATGAGTCATAAGTATACAGCTCAATGAGTTAATGTAAGTGCACACACCCAGAAGGCAAACACATAGATCACCTAGAAAGCAGAGGGTCTTAGCACTCCAGGATAAGCCTCCTTTTGATGGGTAACTTTCACACCTCTGTTTTTTGCGCCTGTTGAACTCAGCCTGGACCACCTCCCTGTTTCTCATCTTTTAGCCTGAACTCAAGTTCTTATTCCTAAAACCCCCCTGCACACACCCAAGTGGGTGGCATCCCTGCTTCTCACCCCTGTGGCAACTAACAGCACCCTGAGCACAAGGCACCTGCTTTTCCTTTCCATTTACTTACCTGTCTTTCTGCTGGGACAGGGATGGCTTCTGAGTCATCTCTAGGTCTCCCCATGTTCCATAAACTTAGTAAATGGTAGTGTTTTGCAATGTTGAATAGATGGCAAGGGGTTGGGCTTGTTACCTTGCTTTGGCTCTTCCCATTTCATGGGGCCCTGCATTTTATATTTGGTTTTAGAGACAGGGAGAGAAAAACCTTGATTTGTTGCCTCCCCATGCACCCTGAGTAGGGACCGAACCCACAACCTAGGCATGTACCCTGACCGGAAATTGAACCCGAAACCTGGTGCATGGGACAGTGCTCCAACCAGCTGAGCCACATGGGCCAGGCCAGGGCACTTCATTTTTGCTTCCTAATTTACCAGCTGCTCGTCCATCCTTGCTCCCTCTTTGGTCCCCCCACCACTGCCAGTCATTTGTCAGCTTCCATCAGCTTCAGTTCTCTAAAAGCATTTCCAGGGCTGAAGAGGTTAATGCCTCATGAAATTCTGTATCCCAATGCCTAGAACAGTGATCAAAACAGAACAAGTGCTTAATAAATTTGGACCGAAGGAAACATCCTCCTCGCAGGGAAGGGTAAAAGATGAAATGAGACCATACCTGGCAAAGCACCATCCCGGTAAGAGCCTCTTGGGTGGAGGGAGGGCACCGCTGGGTCACCCACGGCGGCTGGAAGTGGGATAATGCAGGGGCCACTAGGGGGCGCGCTCACCGCTACTGGGCGCTGTGTTCTTTGCTGTAAAGGTTGGAGCAGAGCACACAGTTCCAGGCAGGTGTCAGGTGTGAAGCAATGAAAATTGGCATGCCGCCCCTGTTCTCCTGGAGTTACACTCTGGAATAAAGGCAGAGGAGATGCAAATACTATAACACAACAACTTAATTCCCAAATCGCTCCTTAATCTCTGACTTTCCCAGCTGTCCTCTGCCCATCCACACCCAAATAACTTCTTGGAATCTCCTGCCTCCATTCCTTTGCGCAGGCAGTTGCCTCTACCTCAGCTCCCTCTTTTTCCCTGGAAAGCTCCCGTTTACACTGTCATCCAGTTCAAAAAGCCTCCCCTGTTTCTCCAGGCAGAATTCACGCTGCCCTCCATTCTATCGAATGCACACAGCTCTGTTGAGTACCAATGGCCAGTTTAGTATATGTCCTTATGTGGGCGGGACTCCTCAGGGCAGGGATGGGCTCTTATTTCAGCATCCAGCATGCCTGTAGATTTGAGGGACCTGGCAAATGACTGTTGAAGAAAGCAGAGACTGGTCAAATCATGGAGATTCATGAAGGAGGTATAGAATAAGATGACCCAGTAGGTGTGGCCATTCCAGGCACAACAAAATCATAGTGAGCAGCAGCTGGGCAGTGGGAATCATGGGTCTAGTTTCATTTGGGGACAAGCAAGCTGCTCAGTTTGGCTCAAGCACTGAGAAGGCAAGCCAGGAGGTTGGTGGGTGGAGGCTGCATGGTTGGGCACTTGGGGATTTGAGCAGGGAAAGGAGTGACCTAAACTCAGATTGAAGACATGGACAGGTAAGCAGGCCATATTACTAGGGGTGGAGCCACAGGGAGAGGGAGGTAGCCACACCCAGTAAGCAGGGCAGGGTAACCTGTGTGAAGTACAAGGCAGGTGTAAAGACTAGCTGAGTGCACCTGCAGCCCGCAGTCACACTGTGGCCCAAACAGTGCTTTTTTTAGTTGCCAACATTCAGAATCAGGAAACTTCATTTTAAAAAGCCATTTCTAGCTTCTTGTGAAAACTTGGGGGACTGGCAATCCAGAACTCCCATTTCTGCAGTAATGCAGGTTCCAAATTCAGGTTCTCAAGCTGGGTGGGTGCTAACCTGTCCACAGCCCCCACCCAGCCTGCTGCTCCCAGGCATTTACTTTGGGTCTCCCATCATCTTATCCTCGAAACCCATCCTGTCTTCCCCATATTGAGGAGTTTGCACCAAAACCTATTTGTCCTAACAGTTCGAATAAACACTGACAAAAACTGGATTGTTTCTCCCAAACCTATCCCTGCTCACTTAGACTAACAGCTCTGAATGAAGAGTGGTTTGTTTACCCTATTGCACAAGATCACTCCCTTCCCCACCCAACCACAACTAGACTAAAGCCTGGGAAGGCAATTCTCAGCCCCCTCCCCCCCCAGGGGTTGTAATCAATAGCGCCACCGGGAAACCCCAAACCCGGAAGCTCAGCTTCAGCCCAGGTGGAGGCCCGGACTGTCTCGCAGGCTCTGAGAGAGCCTGCCTGTCCTCCCCACCGCAGTGGTTCTTGGGGCTTCTGTCAGTGCAGCCCAAACCCAGGAAGATGAAGAAAATAAACTTTGAGGCTCCTTGTCATGGAACCTAAAAAACAACAACAAAAATGGCTGTGTGTCTACAACGACAAAACAAACAAACTGGGGTGCGTTTACCCAGATGTCCACAGTGTTCTCTCTCATGGTTAAATGTCAAGTGGTTTTCATTTTCTTTTTCTCAACCTGCATTTTCTAAATTTTCTACAATGAATATCTATTGCTTTTGTAATAAAAATTATTTCTTGAACAAGTATTCAGATATATTTTAGAAAAACGAATCATCAGTCCATGAAGCTCTGAGATGGGGTAGAAACAGGATGGAAAAGAGAGAGCTCAAGACCTGGAGAAGGAGAAGCTTTAAGACTTGGTGACTGGACTGTGACATGGGAGAGCCTGTGTCAATGGAGCCTCCAGGTTTTCTGTCCTGGAGGTCTGAATGGGTTGCAGTGCCACCAACAAAAATAGGGCCAAATGGAGGAGGAGAAGCTTCAGGAAAACCAGGCAGAAGGTGAGGGGCCATCAAGGACCAGATGAAGACTGGTTATATTGACTTTATAGTTGATATCTTGCTTTTTGTTTGCTTATGCCTTGCCTTATTGAGGGAGAATTAAAGGCAGCCTAAGCCCTGGCTGGTGTGGCTCAGTGAATTGAGTGCTGACCTGGGAATCAAATGGTCACTGCTTGGATTCCCAGTCAGGGCACTTGCCTGGGTTGTGGGCCAGGTCTCCAGTAGGGGGTATACGAGACACAACCACACATTGATGTTTCACTTCCCCTCTTTCTCCCTCCCTTCCTCTCCCTCTAAAAATAAATAAAATCTTATTGTTAAAAAGGCAGCTTAAAAGGAGCTATAAATTGTGACATAACATGAGTATAAAGTTGGACCAAGATAAAAAAAAAAGAGAGCGAGAAGGACCATAAAATGGGGCTGGAACAAAACAGAAACATGAATCTCTCAGTCTCCGGGCCATCCACTTAGCTCTGAGTGTTCCAGTTGTGTGCATCCTGGGGAGGCCCGAACACTCTCGAGGTGAGGGGTCTGGGCTCGGTGGAGGGGATCAAGCTCCTGGATTTGGGTGTAAGCCACATAAGAGGGAACCTGAGGGGTGGGGCGATTACCATGAGAGAGGCGCAGCAGGCCTGGAGAGGGGAGAACAGAACGTAAGGACAGAGCCTCATCTAGTTGATCCACTAACTCACTTGCAATTGTCTTCCCAGTGGATTGTTTCTGACCCACTTACCCTCTTTCGCGTGATCCCCTTTGCGATAACCTTGGGGTAATCAAGCTGATCAGAGTTAGTTGGTGGCTCCCAGAGGTGATCCATAGAGGTCTATGAAAAGTAAAGGACTTGGACTGGATGACAAGATCTTTTCTATCCCAAAACTATGATGTTGACCTCTGGCTACAGGCTCTAGGGCCCCTGAGTGGGTAGCTGGGAGAGGCTGTCAGAGCCAAGTTCTTGAGGCCCAGAGAGGGGCAGTGACTGGCACAATGTCACACAGCCAGTGGTTGGGGACAGAGCTGGGCCTGGAGTCCAGCATTCCTGAACCCCAAACTTTGCCCTGATGTCTGATCTCCAGACAACCAGACTCCTGGCTTTGGTTTCTGTCCTTTCTCTGGAAATGAGACAAAGGAGCCAGAAGCCAGGCCAAGAAGCTGTCAGGGCTGGTCCCAAGCCCCAGGAGGCTGGGAACCCAAGGTCCACACCCATGTAAACACGGCTAGCACTGATATTTCTTATTTGGCTCTCGATAGCTTCCTTTAAATCAGCTCCCCAGTATTATCTTGCTTATCCCTGCAGGTCCTCTGCGAGCCAGGGAGGGGCAGAGAGTATTAGCTCCACTTCACAAATAGGAGAAACTCAGACAAGGAGGAAGGAAGTAATTTACCCAAACTCACCCAGCAGGTCAGAGCCTGGGACAGAACGGGTGGCCTGTGGGAGACGGAGTGGTCCGCAGAGCACACAGCCTGCCGGGCAGGGGCGGGCTTGCGCCTTAGGTACAAAATGCACACAGCTCCAGGGCTCAAGGGGCTCTCATCTTCCCCAGGAGAACGATCTTGCTGTCCCTGGAGAGAAACCTCTGGGGACAAGCTTGGCTTGCTTCCCAACTGGTGCAGGGTGCTAGGCAAGGAGAGAGGTGGGCAGAGGCCTCAGAGAATGCAGGTCTGAGAAAGCTGTCATGGGTCAGGCAACCGTGAGTGAGGTCTGTGCTGCCTGCTTTCCTTCCAGCTTCAGGTGGCCCCAGGAACCCCAACGCCCAACCTGGGCCCACTCCCCTGCTGTCCCTCACCACCAAGGGGCCGGGGTGTCATCTGGACACCTGGGAATGGAGGCAGATTGGCAGATGAGGGTCAAGGAGGCCATGGAGTTGGTGACAACGACTGGCTCTGCCTCCCGAAGGGGTTATGAGTAGGGCGACCATATGCCCATGTTATTAATAGAGCTCCCACTCAATTTCAGAAATACCCTGAGCCTGACAATGAATCCTGTGGTCATCCAAGTCATGGGGCGAATCCTACAGTCAGTGGAGAAAGACTTGAGAGCATTCCACCAGGAAGGCAGGCCTGAGTCAGTGCTGAGGCCTCTCTTCACATCCACCCACAGCCCCATTTCCCTCTGCCTCACTCCCCAGCCTACAGCTAGTCTGTCCCACAAACCATGCTTCCCTACCTGGTCCCTCCACTCTTTAAAAGATTTTATTTATTTAAAGGGAGGGAGAAAGAGAGCAAGAGAAACATCAATGTGTGGTTGCGTCTCTCACACCCCCAACCAGGAACCTGGCCCACAACCCAGTCATGAGCCCTGACTGGGATCGAACCAATGACCCTCCAGTTCACGAGCTGGCACCCAATCCACTGAACCACGCCAGCCAGGGCACTAGCCATGCTCTTTAAGAGAACCATTTCTAGGGGGCAGACCCCTCACTGAGTGGCACACTAAAAAGAGGCCTGGACTCTGCCTTTACCGCGTTGGTGTGGCTCGGTGCTTCAGTCTCCTCATCTGAAAACTGGAGCTAATAAGAGTCATCTAGCCTACTGTGAAGTTCGGTTGTAAGAATAGAAGGTGATAATGGAGGAGATAAGGCTGCTTAAGCATTGCTGTATACAGAGACAAAAAGTGATGGTTCCCTGGAACAGCCAGCACTGCCCAGGCCCAAGAAGTCACTTCCTGCTGTTGCCACAGGGTGACTAATGTGGCCCCTCCACTGGCTGAGTTCTGCTTGTGGAGGATCTGGCCCAGGCCCAAGGAGGGCGCTGACAGCAAAGCCGTGCTGGGAGCCCAGGTTCCTGGCAGCCAGGCACAGTGGGCAGGGCTGACCTATGAGAGCCACAGTTACTGCCTGGGGCCTGGGCTGGTTGCAAAAGGGGCCCGTGCTCCTGACGCGGTCTGCTGTTGGTCTCACTCACTCTCCCGAGCTGGTTCCCAGGAGAACAGGGAGCTTAAGGAGGGTGTGTCACCTCTGCCCTGGGCACCATTCTGCTCCCAGGGGAAAAGCAAGCAAGGCACAGCCCCTTCAGGTGCACATACACTCACACACCAGCCCAGGTCCAGCACTCACACCCGGCAGAAGATGCATGTGGAGATAGAGATCCACACAGAAGTGGCCCAGGAGGCCACACTGACACACAGCCCCCCAGGAAACTAGGCCAAACCCAGATGTGCACACACAGACACAGAGACTACCATATCCCCCTACACGCGCACACACAGGATCGTGTGTAACACACACTCCTCAGGGCAGACAGCTGGATATCCAGACATACTTGCACAGAGCTATACACATCTGGGATGAAGACAGACAACAGCATTTACAGACACAGATACACAGATTTGCATGGATATGGACTTATTCAGAATTTTGCACAAAGACAACACCCACCTTAAATACACAAGAGCAAAAACAGGATACAGAGAGATGTACACGAACACAGATATACTCGTATAACGTATATACAGCCTGTCATCATCTGGTATGATTTAAATACATACAATCTGCTAGTCATGTTCCCATGGAAAGAGCCTCTCCCCTCCAAGTCACATATACACAGAAACCCAAACTTCCTCTTTGAGTAGCTTGGGATTGTGTTGGGCCCAGTCTCTAAGCCAAAGACGAAGAACTTTTTTTATGTAGGTGGTCTCCAAGCAATGATGGGAAAAATAATCAACTGTTGATACAGTCTTATTTACAATAGAAAAAAAGAAGTTAAACGGCTTAAATGACCCCAAGTGGAGATCTAGTTGAAGAAATTACGGTCAGGTTGAAATAGTAAGCAAACACACACTATGGTTACAGCCTCTGGTTAGAGTTCATGATAACATGAAATAACACTGTCGGAATTTTAAACGAGCCTAGTTGGGGGGCTCGGTGGGTTGGAGTGCCGTCCTGTACACCGAACGGTTGTTGGTTCAACCCCCAATGGGGGTGCGCATGTCCCTCTCTCTCCCCCTCCCTTCCCCTCTCTTTAAAATCAATAAACATATCCTTGAGCAAGGATTAAAATAAACTTCATGAAAAAAGCAAAAAAAAATTGCATATACAATATGATCATGAAAAATATTTCAGAAATATGCATATAACAAAGGGCTGGAAGAAAGTTTATCAAAATGTTATTATCTTTGGGACTTAACACTGTGAGCACATTTGTAATCTTCTAATTCTTTGAATTTTCCAATGTTTCTGAGTATTTATATGGGAAAATAAATATATATACTTTAAATCCACTAATGGTTGGTTATACAGACATTAAAAACAATTTATATCAATAAAGGCATATGTATGAATGTATATGTAAGAAACAGAATTTTATCTAGTTAGTATAATCAATATTCCCTAAAATTTAGATTCGACAGTGGAGAATGCTAGGGAAAAGAGGCAAGGGAAAGAGAGATAGAGATAAAAACAGTATCAGAAAAGTAGAGAGAGCCCTAGCTGGGTATAGAGCATCGTCCCTACATGCCAAAGTTGTGGGGTTGTGGGTTTGATCCCCGGTCAAGGCACATACAGGAAACAACTGGTGAATACATAAATAAGTGGAATGACAAATCAATGTCTCTCTCTCTCCCCCTTCCCCTCTCTCTCTCTCTCAATTAATAAATAAAAAATTACTTGAAAATCATAGATTTGATAAGAGTCTAGTACCCAGAATATACAGAGCTCTTAAAAGTCAACAATAAAGACAATTCAATTTAAAAATGGGCAAAGGGTTAGGAAAAAAAGAAAAAGTAGAGAGAGACCTATGTATAGAGAAAGAGAGCAGAGCAAGCTGCTGGGTTTGGAACCAGAGGTAAGTCCCTCTGGTCTTGCACGGGCTTGGGCCCTGCACTTCAGGGGGCCCTTGAAGCAAGCCGTACTCTTAGGTCTGTCCCCAGGCTTCAGTGACACGGACCTGGGGCTGAATCTGACCCTCAGGATCCCCTCCATGGCTCACTGGTTGGCTTTTTGTCTTAAGCACTTAAAGGCCAGCAGCAAACACTGTTTGAGCCCAAGACCCTGTGGGGCATGAATGAGACTTCCTCTGTTTAGCTGGGAAGATACAGCCTGAGTGAGGCACCAAACTCAGTGTCTTCAGTGTGCCGAGAGCAGCGTGGACACTGACACAGTAAGAGATGTTCCTGGAGAAGGGGAATATTGGGAAATGGTTAGAGAAGAAACAGACCATGGGGTGGGGGCACTTTCCAAACTAGAGGATTTGGCAAAAGCAAAGCCTTGGAGTCAGCAATCGAGAAATAATTGGGGATTGGGTGTGGGGGTCACTGGGACAGGCTGGCCTGGTCCAGGTTGGTGTCAGAGTTGAGAGGGCCTTGAATGCTAAAATAAGAAGCTGGGAGTTCATTGTTAGTAACGAAAGCTGGTAACAGTCTTGAGTTGGAAACCAGAGGGAAGGCAGCAGGGCTGGAGGGACTGGTGTAGGGAGCGGCAGTGGCAGGGGACAGAGGTGAGGTGCTGACCAGGCTCAGTAGCCCAGCAGGAGAGGAAACTGTGCCCTGGATGCGCTGGGACCATCAGAGACGAGGGGAAGAACTGGAGGGAGTGGTCAGAGGTTACCTGGTTAGGCTTGTCTCCCAATCCAAAGTACACCTCAGGCTCCTTGGAGCAGTTTTGAAAATCTCTAATTCAGAGTCCTGAGTCTTTCATTTTGCAAATAAGGAAACTGAGGCAGAGAGAAAATATTTGCCTAAGGTCATAGTTGATGCCAAAGCCCACCTTGAACCCAGGTCTCTGCCCCAGTGTGGGATGTGTCAGGTAGGGCTGAGGTAACAATGGGCTGTGGAGCTGGAGCCTCAGACCCCTCAGGACCTGACCAAGGTGGCAAGGGCACAACGTGCAATGAGGTGGCTGGAGCTCTGGAGGATGCGCCCTGGTGGGGCAGGGGCTGGACAGTCCTGGCAAAAACTAAACTTGGGGCTTATCTGAGGTTCCACTCCACTGGGATTTCTGTCCCTCAGCCAGTCTCTTTTTCTCACACACACACACACACACACACACACACACACACACAAACACACTGTACTTCCTACAGAGGGGGCTAGGCTGAGACAGGATGAGTGCTTGCCTGGCCCAGCAGTTGCCCAGCAGGCATGAGGTGTGCCTTAGAAACACCTCTCCACGGGAACAACATCCAGGTACCCAATTCTAGAGTCTGCAAAGTGCTCTTACAGCCGCTCGGTAATATCAAGTGAGATATTACCTTTTATCTCTGGGCCTCACGGTAAAATGAAGTGTCCCTTCACTCCTCACCCCCACCCCCAAGGTGCCCTTTTAAGTTCCTTCCAGCTCCAATCCCAGGGAATAGGAAATGTTTGCTGGATTCCTGCTCCTCTCAGGGTCCTCACAAAATGAACCCTCATTCCCACAGGATTTCTGAGACCAAACTTCTATTTAAATTGTTGACAACTGGTACCTTGATGAGGTCCTCATGTGAACTTTGAGTGCCAAAGCTAAAGAATGGGTCCAACCAACGCCAAGTCCAAGAAGTGTGGCCAGTAGTTGAGGTTTAGACTGTATGGGGTTTCTTTGTGCTCAGGCTGTAAATCAAGGGGTCCCCCAACCTAAGCCCCTGGGCCCTGAGAACTGTTAGAAGGATCAGAGGAGGAGAGTTAGAGGACTCAGGATTGCCCCAGAGCCTGAGCACTGAGCAAGGTGCTCTAGAAAGGAGGAGGGGAGGGGAGGGGCACCACCCACCTGGTGAGGTCATGGGAAAGAAGCTCTGGCGCTGACACCTGGGGAAACCCGTTTCCAAGCTGCTTCCCACGCTAGCTCTCCTGGGAACCAGCTAAGCCCCAAGCGGGGAGCCCCAAACCTCCCCCCCACTCCCAGTCCAGTTCCCATCACACTGCCCCATCTAATCCAGTCCCCACCTTTCAATTTAGCCTCTGTCTTTTGGAACCCAACCAATCTCTATCCACGCTGTGGAGCCTTGAGGAGGGCTGTGAGAGAGCAATGGATTGATCACTCTAGGAAATGACACAAACCATTAACTTCAGAAACTTAAGTCTTTATTTGCACACTCTGCACTGTACTACCTTCTAGGCCGTGACCTTGGAGAAAAAGGTGACCCCCAGCCCCTTCTTCCCTCAGGTTCTAGTTTGCAGCTTATCTCCCTCCTCTGCTGGGCCTTGAATCTCACTTCCTGCCCCACTCCTGGCCCAGCCAGTTTGGGCAGTGCCTAGGGAGCGGTGAGACCCAGTTCTTCCCAGGGATCAGCCCCGCCCTCCCTGGCCTTGGGGGCTGAGGGCAGCCCAGGTGTCAGCCTTGCTCCTCAGCTGCCCCACTTCTCTGCTCTCCTTCTCACTCTTACTCCGTCCAGGCCTCGCTCTATGATCTGCCTCATGCTTCCCAGCCTGCCTCCAGTCCCAAGGCTCCAAGCCTCACTCTCTGCTCCCTCTCCATCTCTGACTTCTATCTTTACGCAGTCCATCCCAAACTTCTCTAAAGCTGTACACCTTCCTGCCATCCAAGATGTCTAGCTATTTCCTGGGCTCTTCCTCACCCCTGTGCCAAGGAGGTGGGGAAGACCACTACAGGGGTCCTAATTCAGCCAGCCTGACCTGAGGGCCCACAAGAAACAGGAAACTGGATCCCAAACTGCTTGGAGGTGGCTGACACTGTTAGGACCATCCCATGAAAATCAAAGTGCTGGGATTTCTCTGTAAGCCTTGACCACAGAAATCCAAGTTATAGCCTTCCTTCCTCCAGGCCATGGGCTCACCCTGGCATGAGTGGGCAGGTAGAGGCCCATGTCCCCAGTGTTCAGAAGGGACTGAGTCTCATGGGGTGGCCTGGCCCTGCCAGTAGTCCCCTACCCCAGGTTCCAGATGTCTGTGGCTTTATGCCTATTGCTCCCTACTCTGCCACAGCTGTTCAAACAAAGCAGAAGAACTTCTTCCAGCGGCAGCGAGAGAGGGTGCGCACACCTTTGGCGTTCAGTTTCTTCTCCAGCCGGGCTTTGTGCTCAATGGCACTAAGAATGGCCGAGTCAAATACCTCCTTTAAGTTCTTCTGAGTCAAGGCAGAGCACTCAAGGTAGCAGCAGGCCCGAATCTTCTCGGCCAGGCCCTGAGCCTGGGGTTGGGGCACGGGACCCTCCCGGCCCCCCTGGTCCAGCTGAATCAGGACATTGACATCATCCCTAAGGTCGGCCTGGGTGCCCACCAGCAGCACCGGCGCCTGGGGGTTGTGAGTGCGAATTTCAGGCAGCCATTTCTCTGTGATGTTTTGGAAGGAGCTGGGCTGCACTACGCTGAAGCAGGCCAGGAAGACATCGGTATCCGGGTAGCAGAGGGAACGAAGGCGGTCGAAGTCTTCCTGGGATGGGAATGCCAGGTCATTAGTAGGATTATTCCCTATTACAGCAAGCGGAAATTCAGGAATTCGCTTTTCACACAGGGTTGGAGACCTGAGACTCGTTACCAAAGGCCCAAGGCCTTCTCTATTCCTGATTCATTTGGGGTCCTCCCAACCTCGAGACCACCTACCCCCAGGCCAGTAGAGACCATTCCCAGCTTCTCACCTGTCCCGCCGTATCCCAGAGCTCAATGCGCACAGGGGCTCCATCCACCAGGACTTGCACTACAGGGGCGGGGCGGAGGAGAGCCTGAGTTAGGAAGGCGTCCTGGGCCCCACCAGGCCTCACGAGCGCCACCTCGGGGCCTGGTCCCGCCTCTCGCGGGCCCCTCGCGGGGGGCTTCCGTGCCCTCCCGCCTGCGTGCCGGCCCCAGCCCCCGGGTGCACAACCCCACCCCTCAGCCACGCGGCCGCCGGGGCTGTGGAACGTACCAGAGAAAGTGTCCAGCGCCGTGGGTCGGTAGCGCGAGGGGTACCCATTGCAGGTGTAGCTGACGATGAGGCTGCTCTTGCCCACGGCGCCGTCGCCCACCAGCACGCACTTGATGCCCAGTTCTGGGGTTGCGCTGCCCCGCCGCGGGGGAGGGGTCGGGGCCCGGAGCGGAGACGATTCGGCCTCGCTCAGCTCCCGCGGGGGCATGGCCCGCTCCGGGGACAGCCCAGGACCAGGCACTGCTGCGCTGGGAGAAGCCGGTTCCGCGGGCTGCCTCTGACTGAATCTGCGGAGGCCCGGCGCGGCGGCGCCGCTAACCGCCAGTATAAGTGGGGCCCCGCCCACCTCATCTGCATAGCCCGAGCGTCCCGGACCCCGCCCACCCGCCGGGCATCCTCCGGGCACTCCCCCTGCAGTCGCCACACGCGCGAGGCCAGGCTATCTCAAACCCTGGGAGGAAGAGAGGCGGGCCAAGAGCTGACACTGAGAGAATCACACAGGTACAAAGACAAAGAATCGCCAAAATGAAGTAGATCTAAGTATTTTGTCAGAGAAACATATGGAGGATTTATCTTTAAGAGGAGGAAGCAAGTTGCTGAACACAAAATGAAGCCAGTTTATATTACATGTGTTCAAATTAAATCTGACACATGATTGTATGGGTATTTTAAAAATCTGGATAATAATTTTATTAATTAAAGATGATTTTTAAAAGTACATAGATCATAAAGAGGCAGAAGATAAACACAAGCACGAACACAATGAGCAGGAATGTATTGCACTCCCTTTCAAGGTAGGGCTCTGCTCTGCTAAAGGAACTCAGGGTGTTGGAGAAACTAGCTGGGAAGGTTCTTCAGGGACAGTTCTTCATGTGAATATTTTCCAGGTCCGAAAAGCACCTAATATTATCTTCATCATAATCATTATCAAAAGCACATGACTGCCTGGGCCACCTACTGGCCTTACCCTAGAAGGAGTTTACAGACTGAGACAAGCTATTGCAGGTGGCCTAGGCAGGTCACCAAAAGAGCAAGTGAAGAGGAGTGTGATGTTAATTTCACCTCTACTGTAGCCACACCACCAAGTAACACCAGGCCCAGAATCCTTTCTCTGAACTCTAAGGCAGTCTGCCATCTCAGCCTATACAAAAATCATTCAAAACACGTCATTCATGAGTTTCTGCAGGGAGAATGTTGGGAATGGAAGAAGGCAATGAATATTAAAGAAAATAGATAATCCTGTTTCTCAAATAGCCTGTAGTATAAAAATCCACAAATCCAAATCTCTGAATCTCTTGGAAGAAGTCTCAGAATCCCTGGTTTCCCTCCTCCCTTCCTTCCTTTCCCTTTCTTCCCTCCCTCCCTCCCTCCCTCCCTCCCTCCCTCCCTCCCTCCTTTCCTTCCTTCCTTCCTTCCTTCCTCCCTTCCTTCCTTCCTTTTCTTCTCCTCCTCCTTCTTTTTTTTTTTAAAGATTTTATTTATTTATTTTGAGAGAGAGAGAGAGAGAGAGAGAGAGAGAGAGAGAGAGAAACATCAATGTGCGGTTGCTGGGGGTTCTGGCCTGCAACCCAGGAATGTACCCTGGCTGGGAATCGAACCTGGGACACTTTGGTTCCCAGCCCGCGCTCAATCCACTGAGCTACGCCAGCCAGGGCTCTCCTTCTTCTTTAAATCAAAAGTTGAGAACAATAACTAGAACGTTGCTGATTTAACCATTAAAATCTTAGTTGTGGGGAAATGGTAGAATCCCCACTATTCACTTCTATATCACCATGCCTACATCCTATATTTCCTATGTCCAAACGTCTGGGGATGCTAATAATTCTTATTTATAGTCCCAAAGACTTCTCAGCCACATCCACATACATTTATTCATCCAGCAAGTGAAAGAGGTCCCAAAGTATTGCCTTGCCATTGTGTCCCACAGAAAATCTCAAAAACTGTTCTTTTTAGTCTCCTGGAAAGGGAGGCAAGAATTGGGATTTGAACATCAAGGAGACTGGTCACTGTACTCCTCATTCTTCAGCTCATTTGCTATGTGACTCCTGAGAAATCGCTTGATCCATCTCTGTGCTATAAAATGACAGGTGAAGTGTCTTTATTTCTGAAAGCCCTTCTGGTGCTAGCAATCTGTAATTCAGGGAACCTAAGCAAGTCACCCCAGCCCAGGTGTCTGGACAAAATTACTACACATACACACACAGGCTCTTCTTCACAGTGATCTTGTCCTTTCACCCAGGTTTTAATAATAGTTTAATCGTAGCTGTAAAATTAGGGGTAATCTTGTTTTAATCCTTTCTGCAAGGAGGGGGAGTATAAATAATACACAAATGGGGGGCAGCGTCTGCTGGGCATGGGTAAAAGACCTGACTTGGCCTGAGACAGGCCATTCACCTCTAGCCCCATGGGTGGGGACACTTTCTGACCTAGGTCCCTCTGTCTGAACTGGTTTAGGGACAGTCTTGCCCGAAAGAGAGGGAGGGAGGAGACAACCTGGGGGAGCTGGTGAGTCACCTATTTCTCAGCTAAGGACTTGCAATTCTGGCTGCTGCTGCTGGGAAAAATCACCTCCTAAGGGTGGGTTGAGTCTTATTTCTGCCCACCTGTCAGATCACCTGTCCCAACTTCCAGCTAGACAGCACATTTACTAAGATTTAAACTTGCCCCTGACATCCTCCTTGGAGAAATGATTGATTCTAGGACTGGGGCAGGAAATATCTAAAATGAGCCTGGCGCATTTTATAGTACAGAAAGGGAGGAAGTGCTAAGCAAACAAAACAACAGGAAGATGGAGATACGACAGATGGACACGGGAGCCAACTGAAGGAGCCTCCAAAGGCCAAATCTGAAACAATGTGAGCAACAAAATAAAGGATTATTGGGTTATAGCCCAAAGTATAAAATAAATATCCACAGGCCTATTCTGATATAAATGATCGAACACATAAAAAGGGGGATAATAGCCACATTTCCCATGGAGAATTCCAAATAATGTATGTAGATACTCTACCCTCCAGAAGCATAACCCCCCACTCCTTAAGTGGGGGTTGTGCATAGTGACTTCTGTCCATAGGGGAGAGTATGAAGTGATGGGGGCAGGGGAGTGAATAACTTTACAGTGGAGAATCCCGAACACTCAGCCAGGTGATCAAAATTAAGATCAACATCAGTAAGTCCAGTAAGTAGTAGGTATCCTTGATATGACATGATATGATGGCATTTTTATCTGTGGTCTTCCTCATAGAAAGAAGGATCCCCAATCTAATAAGAAAAACATCAGAAAAGTTTTCATTGAGAGACATTCTACAACATGCCTGCCCAGCACTCTTCAAAACTGTCAAGGCCATCGAAAACATGGAAAGTCTGAACAACTTGTAGTCGAGAGAAGCCTAAGGAATGTGACGACTAAATGTGCTGTGTGCTGGGTAGGTCCTGGAATAGGAAGAGGAACACGGAATTCTGAATAAAATCTGAACTTTAGTGAATAACAGTGGATCACTGCTGGTTCATTAATTGTGACAAATGTCCCATATTAATGTAAGATGATCCTAATGGGGGAACCTGGGTGTGAGGTATATGGGACTCTCTTATTCTCAGTTTTTCTGTGAATCTAAACTGTTCGAAAATAGTTTATTAAACAACAACAAAAGAAAACAAAAAAAGCTAAAACGTGGCCCTGACATTGAATCATGGCAGTAATAACATTTTTGTTTCAGAAATGTCCAACACAGCCCCAGCTGGCATGATTCTGTGGATTGAGTGCAGGCCCAGGAACCAAAAGGTCACTGGTTCAATTCCAGGTCAGAGCACGGGCCTGGGTCGCAGGCCAGGTCCCCAGTTGTGGGCATGCGAGAGGCAACTAATTGATGTATTTCTCACATTGATGTTTCTCTCCTCTTTCTCCCTCACTTCCCCTCTCTCTAAAAATAAATAAATAAATAAATAAATAAATAAATAAATAAATAAATAAATGTAAAAAAAAAATACCCAACACAGTTGGAGTGGGTTCTAGCCTTATGAAAGGGCTTTATTTGCCAAGTCTCATAAGAACCCAAGTGAGATTGCTGGGAAGAGAGGGGTGAGTACACTGGCGCCCAGAGGAGTTAGGGGACTTGCCCTAAGATCAAAGAAGCTAGTAAGTGGCAGTCCCAGAATCAGCAATCCACAGGTCTACCCTCAGGCGTGGTCACATTCTTAGGCATTTCTGTTAATTCCTTATCTTCTTCAAAATTACTGCTTACCTTGGGATATCTGCAGCCAAAACTCAACTCAACTCAATAAGAATAAACCGAAAGAAATCTGCCCCTACCACCACCATCATTTTCTTACTGCTGAAATAGGGGTTAACAAAACATCAGTAGTGAGGCAGTGTTTACACAGAATTCTACCCAGGGGCTCTTGTGTGAGTGAAATGCACCTCAAGCAGTCTTTTTCCATCTGCATGCTCCACTCCAGGGCCCCCAAACCGCCAGGCCTGCTGCTCAGAACAGCCCAGAGGCTCAGGTCAGCAGGTTAGAAAGCTTTGAAATAAAAACAGGATGCAAAAAGAAATTTATACTTAATACTTAATTTCTTCATCAATCTTACGTCAATAAAGCTGGGGAAAAGCCACTTATTTACCAACACAAATGACAATAATACTACATTAATCAGACTGCACACTTTGGGAGGTTCCAGTTAAATGCGTTTCCAGAGGTTTTCTCTACTCTGTGTGCCTGTGTCCTGGGAGGGAGTTGGTGGCAAACTCAGAGGCCTGGGCTGGGTTTGTGCCTCTGGAACAGGAGCTCACTAACCAGTACTCCAGCCCCAAGGTCCCCACCCGCTCCCCATCAGTGTCCCATCCCAAGGCTCAGGTTGTCTCCCAGGCTTCTGATCTGCCCTGACCGGTCTCTCACACTCAGCCTTAGCCTCAGCTTCTCCCTGCCTTTCTCTCCATCCAGCTGATCCCAACTACTAACAGCTTTTCCCTGACCAGACCTCGCATTCAAGCCCTGGCTGGTATTTTTGAAACACCTGTTGGAGTTGCCACAGCAAATGTTCATCTAAAAGGACTCCCCCTCCTACTTCTTTATTTCTGACAATGGTAGCATAATTCTCTGGAGCCCGTGACCTGGAAAGAGTGGGGCCTGAATAGTTCCCAAACCTCACAAACAATGCACTTGGACCCCTTCCTCTCCTTTCTCCTCGGTCCTTTCTTTGAAGTAGTACCTGACTTCCCTCTTCTGTTAGGTTGCCTTTGCCACGATAATCACCTCATATCTGCCTCTCTGACCTTGTTTTCTTAATTTCCAGTGCACCCAAGCTCCTTAGGGCAATAAACTTATCCCGCCCCTCTTCCACTCAAAAACCTACAGTGAATCCCTGTCAGCCACAGACAGAGGGTAGAGCCCTGCCCGGCACCCCACATCCTCTAGTTAGATTGCCCCCAGCACAGGGTAAGCAGTCACTGAAAATGATCCTTAAGAGAATTTTCAATGACTTGAGAAAACATTAAAAGATATTGTTAAATAATGCAGAATTACATAAACAATTTGAGCCCAAGTATTTTAAAAAGTGTGCACTTAGACTAAAAGAGAGTTCTATAAGAAGGACACATACAAAACTTGAGTCATTACCACTAGCGAGAAGCTTGTTTTGCCTGACAAAGAATGAGCATTCGGCATGCTAGCTATTAGTACTATGTTGCTTATTGGCATTTTCTCCTTTTTCTCCAATGAACATGTTACTTTTGAAAAAAATGGTTCTGGAATTTAAAAAATATATTTATTGTATATTTAGGGGAAAAAAGAAAATTCACTAACACGTCAACAATGGTTGCCTCTGGCAGGATTATGAATGGTTTGTTCTCGTCTGTTGGCTCTCTGAGGTTTTCCACTGTGGCAAGTGCTGAGCACACAGCGAACGAAACAGGCTCATCTGTTCCCTGACTTTGCTCAGCCTGACGTCAACCCCCTTTCTCTGAGCTCCCTGTTTCATGGGTTCTGAGAACATTCCGTGTTTGCTGTGTGCACACCTCAGACTGTAAGTCTAATTGCTGTGTGCAATTAGACTGTAAGTAGCTAGAAGACAGGGAAGGTCTTGTAAAACTGCAAGCTCTTACCACCCTCCCCCCCTGCTCTAGTGGCATCCCACAGGCAGGGGCTTGTTCACTACTTGTGGAATGAGTGCATGCAGGAACGGCGAGGCACGGTCTGCCAAAGGACAGAAGGGCTGGTGGGTAGTGCCACCTTCCCTGATGCCATATGTGCTTATCCAAATGGCCAAGCCCTGGGCCCAACCAAACCCTTAAATGCTTCTCCCCAAAGACTGGTTCCAGGGCCCAAAGCCTCCTCTTGAACAGAAGCTGAGGCCTGATGCCACTGAGGTCCGTTTGAGTCCCTGGGGTTAACCCTAGAACCCATGACCATCCATGATGGTCATGACCATGACAAACATTAGCAGTTTTACAAAAAGAGCACCCAATGAACAAGTATTCAATTAATACTCATATCACTCTAAATTCTCTCCTTGGCATTGGTTATATAAATTCACACTTTGCAGAGTTGTAACCAGGGATATCTCAATTATTTAGCAACTGGTATGGCCTCAGAAAGATACTAGTCTTGTGCTAGAGCAGCTCTTATTAGACCTCTGGTGTGCTTGACATTAACCCTTGCAGGGAGGGGTGTCCAACCTGTGGCCCGTGGGCCGCATGTGGCCCAGATGGCTGTGAATGCAGCACAACACAAAAATCGTTTATTTACTTAAAACGTGATGAGGGTTTTTTGTGTGATTATGTGTCACAATGTATTTAATATGTGGCCCAAGACAACTCTTCTTCTTCCAGCATGGCCCAGAGACACCACAGGTTGGACACCCTAGTGGCTGTATTCTGTGGAGGAATGACAGAGACACACTCAGGGAAGTGGATATTTCAACAACTGGTGTGGCCATACAGGCACGAACCTGCTGAACTTCACTGGTCTGGCTGGATCTGGAGCGAGTGTGAATCCAACACAGAAAGCTTGGGAACAACCTGAAGAAACAGCAGGAATCAGGCCCAGAGGGGACAGAGAGAGTGTGGCCCATTTTGGAACTAACAGTAGCACAGCCTGACTGAGGGAGGGAGTGGGGAGAACGAGCTGGAAAGGGAGGCAGGAGCCAGCTCCAGGCCACAGCTTCTTTTCCTTTGGGTTCGTGTCGCTGGGGGCCAGCTAGCTCAGCCTGGGGTGAGCAGGACTACTGTGTCCCAGGAAGCAGAACTTAAAGTGCTAAAACCACGAGGGCTGTTCACACTAAGTACTCATACCCTTCTTTTTGCTCCTGTTAATAATCCCAGCCTGCTCTTCAAAAAGACCATAGCACTTGAAACTAGAAATAGAGCAGGATTCTCCAAGCCAGCATGAAATCCGCTTTCACTTATTTTTTGTGAAAGTACTTACCTGAAAGGGACTAGTTTTTGTCCATATTTATGTTTATATAAAGCTAGTATTTCTAATCCAATTCCTTTCCCCTCCTTTGTCTCAAATAAAAATTTTGTCAACAAGATACAAGTTAGCTCTCCCTGGCTGGGTTGCTCAGTGGTTGGAGCATCATCGTGTATACCAAAAGGTTGCAGGTTCAATTCCTGGTGAGGGCGCATCCCAAGGTTGTGGGTTCAATTCTAGTCAGGAGGACGTGGATGGGAGGCAACTGATTGATGTTTCTCTCTCTCCCTCAAATCATTAAATATATCCTTGGGTAAAGATTTAGAGAGAGAATTTAGCTTGATAGTCCAAAGCAGGGTCTCTGGGACCCAGCGCCTGGGTTGGTATCCAGTTGTGTCACTTACCAGCTGTTGCCTTCTCTGGGCTTCAGTTACCTTGTCTGTAAAAAGGGCTTAAAATAGTACTTACCTCGGAAAATGTTCTCTAGTGCTCGCACACACAGAGTGCTCTGCAAGGGCGAACTATTACTACAATTACCTTCCCCTTGAGTCAGGGCAAGTTTTTTCAGATAAAGTCAAGGGCCTGCCTGAGACTGAACGATGCAAATTCACCAGGTCACGTAAGGTCCACAATTTTGTCTTTTGTGATTCCGATTGGGGAAACAAACAAAAAAAAACTAAGCATTTATTCAAGTCATCATTCTAACATACTGGTATTGTTATTGTGTTTATTTTATAGATGAGGAAGAAAAACAGCTTCATTGAGTACTTGCCTGAAGCCTCATGAGTAAGAGAGGCAGGATCTCAGAGCCCAGGTTTGTTGTTGCTCCAAAAACACCCTCTTTCAGTTCTCCCCTTAAGAATTACGGGCTACAAAGCAGGTTACCTGTTGTTTTATTATCTTTTGCCTTATATATACTAATTACCATTCTGACATTTGGTCAGAGATCTTTTTAAAATTTTGTGTTGTAACCCATTTCATTGAGAGATTATTTATGTTCATGATGCACCCATTTTAATTGCATAGTTCAATGAGTTTCGACCATGTGTCCACCTCTGTCATCAGCACCACCACAATCAACATACAGAACATTTCCATCTCCCCTGAAACGGTCCTGGCCTCGGCTGGGTAGCTCAGTTGATTAGAATGTCATCCCCATCCGCCAAGGTTATGGGTGGATCCCTGATCAGGGCACATAAAGAATCAACCAACTAATGCAGCATAAGTAAGTGGAGCAACACAACGCCCTGGCTGGTATGGTTCAATGGATTGAATGTTGACCTGAAAACCAAAGGGTTGCTGGTTCAGTTCCCAGTCAGGGCACATGCCTGGGTTGCAGGCCAGGTCCCTAGTAGGGGGAGTGTAAGAGGCAACCACACATTGATGTTTCTCTCCCTGTCTCCCTCCTTTCCCCTCTCTAAAACTAAATAAGTAAAATCTTAAAAAAAAAAATTCATGTACAAATCTTTCAGTGGACATACGTTTTCTTTCTCTTGGGTAAATATCCGGGTATGGAATTGCTGGGTCATGAAGTAAGTGCATGGTAATGGTTGTACTATTTTATATTCCCACCAATAAGAAGTTCCAGATGCTCCACAACCTCACAACACTTGGTACTGGCGCTCTTTTTAAACATTTTGGATTTTATTGTTGTTGTTGCTATTGCTTTCAAATACAAAAATCTTATCATAGCCCTGGCTGGCGCAGCTCAGTGGACTGAGCGCGGGCTGGGAACCAAAGTCTCCCAGGTTCGATTCCCAGCCAGGGTATATTCCTGGGTTGCAGGCCATAACCCCCAGCAACCGCACATTGATATCTCTCTCTCTCTCTCTCTCTCTCTCTCTCTCTCTCTCTCTCTTTATAATAAAAAGAAAAAAAAATCTTATCATTTTAAAAGTTGTAAAACAGTTTCTGCAAGAGACCATTTTGGGTGAGTATATAGGCAAGTTTAATTCAGACATATGCAGTGTAACACAGTATCACCATGTAAATGCATACTAACATGTCAAGTCATGCGTTCATTCTGCAAGCACTCCCCAAGTCCCTATAGCGTGTCAGGTCTTAGGATCTAAAAGTTCGGAGGCAGGATGAGGGCTGGTTGTTAGATTTTATTGGGTTTCACATTCATCAGAGGAAGTTCCTGGCTTAGGCATCTTTTGCCTGAGGCCTCACAGGTAAGAGAGAGCCAGGATCTTGGAGCCCAGGCCTATCCTAGACTTAAGGAACCAGTAAGAAGCATAGCGACTGGCTATGAGGCAGTGCTCTGAATACCATTATTTCCTGGGCACTGTCCCCAGATGTCTCTAAGTGGACTGGCTTTCCCGGAACGTTGGAGATGGTCACAGTTGAGGAAAGTTGAGGTTGACAACGGAGGAGGAGAGGAGCTGAGTGGCTAGGTGACTTGTCCAACAGCAGCGTCTGGTTGAGTGTGAGTCCGGATTCTGAAAAGGGGGCCCATAGAGGCTGCGTGGAGGGGGTGGAGGGGACAGCCATGGCCAGCCCGGGAGGGGCTCCTGCAGAGGCCGTGCTGGTGCAAAGCATGGATCCCACCGAGACACCCATGTTCCCTGAAAGAAGTTTATAAAACTATACCAAATACTAAAACTTTTCATTTTAAGACCAAATAGTTGCAAAGGATATCACTTCTAGCATACCGTTAATATTGGTGTTTAAATAAAACTACTACTTTGCTCTATTAAACATATACATTGGAATCTAACTACTAAAGCAATCTGATATTCTCCATCATCCATTAAAAAGCATGTGGACAAGCTCTTCTCTAACAGCTGGAAATTTTACATTATTTATTTTCTCTGTCAGTGTTTCCAATCTTACTGTAATGTATGTTATGCTTGAAAATTTTTATTGATACCTAATCCTAATTATTTTTAATTAGCATATATATTTAAAAAATATTATAATGTTAATTTCTTGTTGTTGTAAGGCTCTAAGTTTTTATTTCACTCACCCCCCGGCCCCAGGTGGATTCGAATTCATTACCTCGCGTGTTAAGGGATGTGCCTCTTTCTCAGGGGTCAGGCAGGGTGTAGAGAATCAGTGTCACTGAACTGTCCTAGGCTACCACCTCCTCAGAGTCAGGGCCGTCACTGACAGCATTACCTACACCAGGCTGGGGAAGGGAAGAATGGAGGCAAAATTCTCTAGGTCTTGACATAGTTTTCTTTTGAATTAAGTTATTGAATATTATTATCCACATGATCAAAACATAAATACATTACACATTTTCATAAAAATACACATAAAAGTAAAATTATATTAGAAATACATCTCTTGATGACACGCATAGGATTTTTAAAAATTTTCAATGAGTTCATGTATTTGTGGATAGAAAGCTTGACTGAAAGAAAGTTCAGCATCGATTCTCTTCTCTTTTGTTTTGTTATGTTTTGTTTTGCATTGATATAAATGTACAGAAACTTTGTTCAAAAAAATCACTAGATGGGAATGAGAAGAGGTTTGGTATAGCAATGGTGTTGGAACATTTGACCCCCCTTCAAAGTTACATGCCAAAAATGTTAGTGACTTTTTTTTCAGTTAGCTAAAACCTGCTTAGGTTCTCAAATTGCATTCAAGTTAAAGAACCAGACACCATTTGATGTTCAAAGGACTTGTTATCTAGTCTTTATTGTCTTTGTGGGAACACCAACAGTAATTCCAGTGGTCTCTCTGCAAATTTTCATGCCCTGAAGCAATGCACTGTGGTGTAAGGGGTGTCTCACCCCCAAGTTGTTGAGAGGTCTACTTTCTTTTCTTTGAAGAGAAGCGGGGGAGGTGGAAGGGAACCTACCCCTCAGACCTTCTCTTGCTGGTTACTTTTAGAAAAGAGCCAAGGGAAGCTGAGGCTCTGGACACCAATTCCCTTATTACTATTTGGTTTATTATGTCCCTTGGGATGTGTGAATCCTAGTTTTGAGGACTGCAGACCTGAGGATGCTTTTATTTCTTACCTAGACAAGTGTCCTCTTCCTTGCCGCCCCAATGGCTTCTTTGGGGCCACTGGGCCTACAACCCTAGAAGGTGGTGGGGAAGAAAGTGAGCAGGTTAGGTCCCCAACTGCCTTGCATGGGGCTTTGCCATTTACTCAGTGGGAGAAGAGATAATAGTAATAGGGAGGAAGTAGGCTTTTTGAGAACTGAGGAGATTTGGGTAGGTTTGAAATCAAACAGGTAAGAGAGTAGATATACAACCTCTTGAAAAGAGTTGTGAAGAGGCTGAGTGAGCCAAGAGACTTCCTTCCTTTAGCATATTTTAATAGGAGCCAACGATGGGCTGGGCCCTGTCCCAGGATGGGGTGTGCAAGACACCTGTTCCTGCCCTCAGTGAACAGTCAACCCAGGGAGGAAAAGAAGGGTCGGGAAAGAAGAGGAAGAGGGGAAGAGGGGAAGAGGGGGGGGGAGAGAGAGAGAGAGAGAGAGAGAGAGAGAGAGAGAGAGAGGGAGGGAGGGGTATCAGGCAATTGTAATGCAGGGTGGTCATTATATGGGGTAATCAGCACAGGGGCCTCAGGGAGAAGCTAGGAGGGGCCCTGATCCTGGCTGGAGGAAGAGTATCAGGAAAGGCAGTCCAGAGAGAACAAAGCCCCAGGAATAAATTCTCAAGCATCTGGAGGACCGGGTGCATTCTGGGAATATCCTTAGATCAGCACTGAGAGATAAGAACAGACCCAATGGAGTTTAACTGGGGATGGGGCAAAGAACCGCTCAGTTTCCTTAATAAGTTTTGTGGTTCTACATTAAAATGTATATACGAAAGAAAAAAACAAAAAATAAAAAATAAAATGTATGTACATTTTATGTTGTGATGATTAAAAATCATGTATATGATGTAACAATTAAAAATTAAATTTCAGGGACTTCCGGTTAAGACGGAGGTATAGATAGTCATGCTTTGCCTCCTTGCACAACCATAGAAACAATTACAACCAGATCTTAAAGACAAATAACAACCAGAGCTGTCAGAAAGTCAAACTGTATGGAAGTCCGACAACCAAGGATTAAAGAAGCCACATTCATTCAGATGGGTAGGAGGGGTGGAGTTGCAAAGCAGGGGTGTAGAGGATGCAGTGAGGTGCAGAGAAGCAGTGGTAGCGGCAGAACAAACAGTTCATATGTGGTGGATAAAAATCACAAGGGATACTTTGGGAGCCAGTGGACCCCAGGCCTGGGCCAGATCTCACAGCCCAGAGTTCCAGCACCAGGAAGATAAACCCCCATCACCTCTGGCTGTAAAAACCAGTGACTGTTGGGGCAGTAGAAGAAACTGCTGGATTTTCACCACTTAAAGGACTCGCATGAACTTAGAACATATGCAAACCCCAGGGGTGGCTGAAAGGGCACCAATTGCATATGAGAGGTAGATGGAAGCAGGTCAATTGCCCATTAGGTCTCCAGAAGCCAGGCAGCAGCACTGACCCCTCTCTGAGCTGCCTCCCTGCCACACACACCCATAGAGTCACAAAGCAGTGAAGCGGGTTGCCCTGCCCTGGCAATCACCTAAGGCTCCACCCATACAATTTACAGGTGCCTTTTCTACACAGGCCATGATACTGAGACAGGGAGTAAAAGCAGCTCTACCTAATACATAGAAACAAACACAGGGAAGCCGCCAAATTGAGGAGGCACAGAAATACAGCCCAAATGAAAGAACAGAACAAAACCCCAGAAAAACAACTAAAGTGGAGATAGTCAACTTATCAGATGCAGAGTCAAAACTCTGGTGATCAGGATACTCAAAGAACTCATTGAGTACGGCAACAACATAAAGGAAGAAATGAAAGATACCCTAAATGAAATAAGGAAAAATATACAGGGAACCAACAGTGAAGGGAAGGAAGCCGGGACTCAAATCAACAATTTGGACAAAAAGAATAAATAAACATTCAACAAGAACAAAAAGAAGAAACAAGAATTCAAAAAAAATGAAGAAAGCCTTAGGAACCAATAGGACAACTTTAAATGTACCAGCATCAGAATCATAGGGGTACCAGGAGGAAAAGAGGAAGAGCAAAAAATGGAAAAACTTATTTGAAAAAATAATGAAAGAAAATTTCCCTAATCTGGTGAAGGAAATAGACATACAAGTCCAGGAAGCACAGAGAGTCCCAAACAAGTTGGACACAAAGAGGACCACACCAAAACACATCATAATTAAAATGCCAAAGGTTAAAGATAGAGAATCTTAAAAGCAGCAAGAGAAAAGCAGAGAGTTACCTACAAAGGAGTTCTCATTAGACTGTCAGCTGGCTTCTCAAAAGAAACTTTGCAGGCAAGAAGGGACTAGCAAAAATATTCAAAGTGATGAAAAGCAAGGACTTATAACCTAGATTACTCTATCCAGCAAAGCTATAATTTAGAATGGAAGGACAGACAAAGTGCTTCCCAGACAAGGTAAAGCTAGAGGAGTTCATTATCACCAAGCCATTATTACATGAAATGTTAAAGGGAATTATTTAAGAAAAGAAAGATCTAAACCATGAACATTAAAATGACAACAAACTCACAACTATCAACACCTGAATCTAAAAAACAAAAACAAACTAAGCAAACAAGCAGAACAGGAACAGAATCATAGATATGAAGATCATTTGGAGGGTTATCAGCTGGGAGGGGGAAGGGGCAGAATGGGCTGAGAAAAGGTGCAGGGATTAAGAAGCATAATTAAGAAGAACAGGGGGATATTAAGAATAGTATAGGAAAAGTAGAAGCCAAAGAACTTTTATGCACAACCCATGGACATGAACTAAGGGGGGTGGGGATTGCCAGAGGGAAGGGGGTATCAGGTGGAGGGGAGCAAAAGGGGAAAAATTGGGACAACTGTAATAGCATAATCAATAAAATATACTAAAAAAATAAAATAAATTAAATTTCAAAACAAATTCCTAAATTTCCCATGAAGAAGAATTTTAAGTGATTCATACTTTACCTTCCAGGAAACATAAACCCCTACTTCTTAAAGTGTGGGCCATGTGTAGTGACTTCCTTCCAAAGAGGACAGTATGAAAGGGGGAAAGAGAAACTTTAAGGTGGAGAAAGCTAACAAACACTACTTCAGTTGGGTTATCAAGGTCAGCATCAACAGTGATAAATCATGTTGATGGTATGTACCTTTGACATGATGTATGATAATGGATAATGGTACTTTACCTTCCCAAAACCTACAACACCTGCTAACCACGAAAAAAAGATATCAGACAAATTCCAATAGAGAGCATCCTACAACACTCCTCAAAATTGTCAAGGTCATCAAAAACAAGGAAAGTCTGAAAAATTTCCATGGTCAAGAGGGATGGGCCTAAGGAAAGATGACAACTGAATCGTATATGATGTCCTGGCACAGAGAGAGGGTGTTAAGTAAAAACTAAGGAAGTCTGCCTAAAGTCCATACTTTAGTTAATAATAATGTGTCAATACTGGTTCACTAATTCTAACAAGTGTACCATACTAATGTAAGACGTTCATACCATGGGAAATTGGGTGTGAGGTATATGGAAACTACTGCCTTCTCATTTTTTCTGGAAATCTAAAACCATTTTTTAAAAAACACCTATTTAAAAAAATAAATTACTTATGTCAATTAAGTCATCCCTTTTGGTCTGGGTCTTCATTCAGTTAACAATTACTACTAATAGTCAACTCATACTAGGCATGTTATAGGTATAAGCACAATGCTGAGTGATATGCATATCTTATAATACTCAAAATAGTATAAGGTAACTTTTTCTCATTTTACAAGTGTAAAACAGAAGCATGACAAAGCTCATTCAGGCAACTGTTTAATAAATATTTATTAGTGAGTTAGTGACTGCCCCACAGGTGCGAGGGTGTCTTTCAATTAATTCCCTGCAGGGGCCTCAGGTGCCACTGTTCAGATTGAGCTCAATCACATGACCTCTGCCTCTTTCCCCCCAAGCAGCTCTTCCTCCTCCTGGACTATGGTGTCACTGCACCATCTTCCAAGTCTCCCAAGAGAAGCCCTGCACTGTCCTTCCCTCCTGCCCCGACATCTAAGTTGACACTAAGTCCAGTGGGCCCTTCACAGAAACGTCTCACCACCATCTTCCTAGTCTACTCTTTCTTCAGGTTGGGCCTTCACCACTTGTCCTCTGCATGTGCTTCCTGTCTCATCCTTTCTGATGTGGACTCCACCCAAGCCATCACCTGCCTTTCTAGAACCCACATCAGATGATCTCATCCCCCACCAATGCCTTTCTCAAGCTGGCCACAGCCAGTCCCATTTCCTATTCCCCCCAAACATCGCTGTATGCAGGCCTTTGCTCTTGGTTTTCTCAGGGCCTGCCTAAAGCCTTTCCCTTTTTGCCCTTAGACTTCAAGTCCTAGGTCAAATTTGCCTGCTTTTGCATACCAAACCTCTTTCTCCCTGGCCCAGCAGTCAGCCTTTATCTGTCCTATGGCAACTACCGCTTGGTTTGTGAGGGGTAGGAACTAGTGGATCTGCCTGCAGCTGTGAGTTTCCTAAGGCACCTTTGTATCCCTTTGCTCAGCAAAGTTCAAGTTATTTCCCACAGTCAGCTTCTGTTATATAAAAGCATAATGCCCACACTTCATAATTAGGTGCCAGTAAGGGGCGAGGATAAGAAAAACCATAGCAGTTTTGAGGGAGAGTTGTACAGGTGTAGGGAGAGGTGGACTGGAGAGTGGCTGTCAGATTAAAGCCACATTTAGAGTTTATGGAGCCCGTGCTCTGTTAGACATCCTGCTATAGCAGTGAGCTTTCTACTAGACCACCTCATTTACTCTTCCAAACAGACCTCCTAGGTAATTATTGTATCTATTTCTGTAGATGAGGAAACCAAAGCTAAGAGCATCAGATGTGCAATGTCACAGCTAGAGTTACTGGGCAGGGATAAGAGCACTGTGGTCTGTGGTTCTTATTCCAAAGTCTAGCCTAAGGATTTAGTAATGAGTATGTGGAAGAATACTGCTGTAATCACCTCAACAGGGAGTACTGTGTCTGCAGCAAGCAAAATCCACTTAGGCCCCACCCCACACATCCCAGGGAGCAGTGGAGCCCAATAGGGAGGCTTTGGAAACAATGAGGAGATGGCTGGAAGAACTCTGCATCTGGGAGACACAAACCACCATGCTAATGGGCTCCATGCAGGGAGCACACTCTCTCTGCACAGTCCAGATCTGAGGAATCAGCTGGACCCCTGCCCTCTTCTCTCAGCTTGCACTGGGGGCGTGGGCAATATGCCTGGATTTGAATATTGCCTCCTGGCTTCCCACTTCCTGGCCACAGGACCTTGGACAAGCTGCTCCACAATCGAACTTCAGTTTTTATTTTTGTAACGTGGGGAAAAGAGCAGTGCCTACTTCATAGCAATAGTGTGTGCCCAAAATGAAATAACAATGATTGTTAGGAACTTACTGTAGTTTGGTGCTTGGAACACTACCGGTACTCAGTAAATGTCTTTTATGGTTATCTGACCTTTGGCTGGACCTGTGTTTCCCTAGTGCAGATAACAGGTGTTCTGGGGTGGAGCCTCAAACAAGGAGCGGGCAGCTCCCTGGCTGGGATCACTTTTCCTAGGGAGGAAACCTCCTGCCTAACGCCCAACTCCCGCACCTTCCAAGCTCGACCTGTCTGAGGCCTGTTAGGAACCAGCTGCACAGCAGGAGATGAGCTTGAATGAAATGCGCTTGAATCATCCCGAAACCACCCCCCTCCACACTGCTAATCCCGGTGCATGGAAAAATTGTCTTCCACTAAATAGTACCTGGTGCCAAAAAGGTTGGGGACTGCTTCCTAGCCTATGGGGCAGCGCCCCTGGTGGTGAGAGCGGCTCCCCGCTGCACGTTACGGGCGAGAGAAGCGAGATCCTGAAGTGACGACGGGTGGTTATCTTGGACAAAATAACCAGTCACCATATTCTGGGGCACTCCAGGCCCACAGAGTCCTCGGCAGGGGCTGGTGAGGGTCCAGTTCTTTGCACCTGGTAGGGAAGTTAGGCAAGAGTAGCCTGGACACACAGTCTACCGTGCAAACCTGGACGCTTTTGAGAGCAAAGGGGGCGCTTTTAGTCATTATGCCGGGGGCTACCCGTTTAAGCAGGATGGCGGTGACTCTGACCAAAAGCCTCCCACTTTAGCAAAGTAGAGTCCATGGGCCCCATAAAGGAACGAATTCCGATGGCCAACGAGGGTGGAAGAGGGAAACCCAATCGCAGTCGCACTGGAACTTTCGCAGTTCTGTTATTTAGGACTCCACACTCGCCTCCAACACTCGTCCCTAGTTCCTGTCAGGTTTTGCAGTTATTTGTTCTCTGCTCCTCCATACTTCGCTGTGGCCACATCTGTGGGTTTGCCCCTGCTGTGCCCTAGAGCATGGAACAGTGCCTGGCACAGAGAGTGTGCTCATTTGTGTATTGGGTAAACAAATACACAACCTTTTGAACAAACCCATCAACCTCTTTTCTAGCATTAATTATCTATTTATTGGCTCATCATCCCTGTTGTACTATGACAGTCAAGAGCAGTACTGTACTTTTACTTATCTCTATGACTAGCACATAGCCGGAGGCCAGGCACAAAGCAAGTTTTTGTTGAATGAGTGAATGGAGGCAACCTGACACCCCTTAGCTGTGCCTTGTCTTCTCTGCTGCTTCTTCTTGTTTCCCCCCACACCGAGGAGCCACTGCGGAGCAGATTAGAGGCAAGTTAGGAAGCACATGGCTTCCCACTGGCTGGGGCACTCAGCTCTGCCACTTTCTGGAAGCTGGTGGGCCCGTGGATGTGGGAGAAGAGAGATCAAGACTGCTTGCCTGTGCTTTGTGAAAGTAGGAACAGGAAAACGATTAGATTGAGGAACGGAAGAAGGTTCTTCTGGGGCTTAGGGCAGCGAGCTGTTTAGAAAGGTGGGAGAGGAGCTGGGTAGGGTATCTGAGCGAGGGAAACCTGGGCATGAAATGTGCTGGGGACCGGCGAGGCTGGAGCTGGATGGCGCTGGGTGGATCGGAGAAAGCGGCTGAGAAAGCCGGGATTACCTCCTAGTGCCAAAGCCCGGAACTGCAGCAGGGTACTGGAAGGAGAGGCTAGTGTATGGCGCGGCCAGTCCACCACTCCGCTGGTCTTCAACAAGGACGCATCCCGGTCTCCGCCCCAAGCAGAGAACCGCAGAGTCACTCCCGGATCCCTCCCTCCAAGGAAGATTGGGTCGGGCCCCACCCTGGGTCGGGCACCACCCCGCCCACCGTCCTGGCCAGGTTCACTCACCACTTGCGACGCCTCCCAGCGGCCGGTCCGGTGAAGTTCCTGAGCCTGCGTACATGAGCGTCTGAGAACCCGGAAGTTACGTTATAGGTGCGCGTCTCCGGGGCGGGAGTCAGCTGAGCAGCCTGGGCGAGGTTGGAAACACCTGGGCTAGGCTGTAGGGAGCCCATGAGCTCTTGGGGGCGGGAGTGGGTGCAAGACTGCACCCGACTCACTGAGGAGGACTCCTTGGGCTCCTTGGGCTTCTCGCTCTATAAGGCGGGAGCGAGATCCTCAGGATTATAAAGAGGAGGAGTCGGCGGCGGATTGCCGGGACCTGTCAGATCTCTGTCTAGGCTGGGGAGTCGCAGGTTCCAGTGGGGACAACAGGGATCCTTGGGGGAAACCCTGTTGTAATCTCTGGGCTTGGGACGAAGAGTCCGTAAGCCAGGCACCATGGCGTCCATCCTGGATGAATATGAGGACTCCTTGTCTCGCTCGGCCGTCTTGCAGCCCGGCTGCCCCAGCGTGGGCATCCCCCATTCGGGTAAGGGAAGGGAGGGCGCCGCCACCTCTCTCAGCTCCCCTGGCACCTTCGGGGTAGGAGTCGAGAGGGTGACTCAAGAGTTCTGGTTCACCTCCTGGACGTGTAGTTTGGGTCTAGGCCCCTGATTCTCCTCAGGCTCTTTTGGCCCCTACCTGGTGGATGGTCGAAGATTGAAAGCACAGCAACAAGAACAGCCGTGTGATCTAGGCCCTGCCACTAGGGTCCCCCTAAGAGGGAAGTGGGACCCAGATAAGGAAGTGACTTGCCTACAGGGCTGCACTTAAGAAATGAGAATAGGCTTCAGGATTTACCTGATTCTGTGATTTTCTCACCAGGGCCCTTCTGGTGGGAGGAAGAGAGTGTGCCGTGAAACTAGTGAAAGGGTAATGTTGTAGTGGAAGGAATGAACTTTGTTATGGAACAGAGGGAGATGAAGTGTTATAGGCCTTTGCTATAGCAGAGTGAGGCCTGACATTGAGGGAAAATTTTTGTAGAAAGTAGTACAGAATTGGCTGAGGGGTGTGAAGTGCTAGGGTATTTTGAGCAGTGGTAAAGGATCAAGAGTAAAGCCTAAAGAGAAAGCAGCTTCAGTTTGTTAACCAACCGACTGGAACAGTTTCCCAGGATTCCCTCTACCTGTATTCCTCTGGAGACTCACTGAAGGCATGGCTGCATGGGCAGAGAGGTGAAACAGTGGAACTAGAGGATGTTACTTAAGCTGGGGTTACTGGGCCAAAGATTGATAAGGGAAAATGTCCAGCATTTCCCCCTGTTATCATTGGGAGCAGTTACATCTTGGTGAAATAGTGCCCCAAGGGTTCTAGGAATCAACCCCTCACTGCTGTCAGACTTGTGGGAAGAGCCCAGGACCCCTAATGTAAGGGTGATTAGCAAATTACTTGACATATTGATATTAAACTATTTGTTAACCAAGGTCCTGGGATAGGAATATATTGGGAGAGTGGAGAGGAGCTGTTTTTTGCCGTTGTTGTTGCTTCACCTTACCCTTCCTCCATCTCTTCCATAGCCAAACTTTTCTTTGCTTCTTGCCTGTAGGGTATGTGAATGCCCAGCTAGAAAAGGAAGCACCCATTTTCACAAAGCAGCGCATTGACTTTACCCCCTCCGAGCGTATCACCAGCCTTGTCGTCTCCTGCAATCAGCTCTGCATGAGCCTGGGCAAGGATACACTGCTCCGGTAAGTGAGGGCCCAAAACTTACAGGAGTGGAATGGTGTTATTTTGGGACTGTTAACTGACTCAGGCCATTCTGCCCTCTGGGCAGGTGAACACAGAGGACTGGGAATTTTCAGGAAATATCCTTCCCAAAGAGAACCAATGTAGTTTAGTATTTCAGAATCAGGTAAACCGGGGCAGGATTGGCTCAATTGGTTGGGGTGTGCTCCTGTAACCTAAGGGTCACCAGTTCAGTTCTATGTCAGGGCACTTTCCTGAGTTGTGGCCTCAATCCCCGGCTGAGTCTCTTGCAGATCAGTGTTTCTCTGTAGCATTGATCTCTCTCTCTCTCTTTCTCCCCTGCCTTCCCCCTCTTCCCCTCTCTCTCAAATAAGAATAAAAGAAACCTATAAAAAAAAAGGACTCAGGTAGACCTGCATTCAGATCCCAGCTTTATACAGATTCCAGCTTTTTTTTTTTAAGATTTATTTATTTATTTTTAGAGAGGGAAGGGAGGGAGATAGAGAGAGAGAGAGAGAGAGAGAGAAATATCAATGTGCAGTTGCTGGGGGTTCTGGCCTGCAACCCAGGAATGTACCCTGGCTGGGAATCGAACCTGGGACACTTTGGTTCCCAGCCCGCGCTCATTCCACTGAGCTATGCCAGCCAGGGCTTAGATTCCAGCTTTGTCACTTAGGAACTATGAAATCTCATGCAAGTCATCCAGCCACTCTGAACGTGTCCCTCCATCTGTTAAAGATAGTACCAAACACATAAGTTAGCCACTTGGATCAGTGGAACTGTTTAGAGTCCTGAAATAAATCTACTATAAATAGAAATAATGTGTCTTAATAAAGCTGCAAATAAATATATAAACAAATGAAAATAATATATGACAAAGGTATTAGGAAAATTGTTTATCTGTCTGGAATAAAACAGTGAAGCCTCTGTATCACAAAAATGAATTCTACATGGAATAGTTATTTAATATAAAAAATAAACCCTGGCTGGTGTGGCTCAGTGGATTGAGTGCCAGCCTGTGAACCAGAGGGTCTCTGGTTCAAGTCCCAGTCAGGGCATATGCCTGGGTTACAGGCCAGGTCCCCAGTATGGGGTACATGAAGTAACCACACATTGATGGTTCTCTCCCTCTCTTTCTCCCTCCCTTCCCCTCTCTCTAAAAATAAATGAATAAAAATTGTTTTAAAAAGCAATGTGAATATTAAAAGAATTATTCATAAATGTCTGTGTTCTTGAGCTGAAGAAAGACCTTTTACTTAAGTTGGAAAATTCTTGCTCCAACTGATGTGGCTCAGCAGATTGAGCTCTGGCCTGTGAACTGAAAGGTTGCCAGTTCGATTCCCAGTCAGGGCACATGCCTGGGATGTGGGCCAGGTCCCCAGCTGAGGGCAAACAAGAGGTAACCAATCCATGTATCTCTCCAACATGGAAGTTTCTCTCCCTCCATTCCCTTCTCTCTAAAAGTAAATAAACAAAATCTTTTTTAAAAAGTCCAGATGCCACAGGAAGAAGATACAATTGATTGCATAGCAATTGCTGTTGTGACAAAACAAAAGCAAAAAAGCCTATGAGTCAAGTCAAGACGGTGGGAAAATAGTGTTTTCCCACATGACTAACAATTTACCTCCTTGTTTCTTAAAAGGCCCTTACAAATTAATAAGCAGGTGATTGAGTAGAAAAGGGAGGGCAAAGAATATAAACAAGCATTTCACAGGAAAGGAACTCCAAATTTCCATTAAACATCTGCAAATTTTTTAACCTCTGGGGATGCAATTTAAAATAGCAGTAAGATGCCATTTTTTAAAAACCTATCAGATTGGCAAAAATTAAAAACAGTAATTTGTGGTGCTAGTATATTGCTGGTAAGAGTATACATTGCCTCCACCTTTTTGAAAAATAATTGTCAAAGTCTATTAAAATTTAAAATATATATAACTGACCCAACAATCCCATTTTGGTGAATATATAGCTATAGAAAGAAAAGTACCAGTTTGCAAGGGTATAGATTCAAGGGCATTGATGGCAGCGTTGTTTGTGGTGGGAAGAACTGGACTTGAGCCGAATGCTCGTCAACAGGAAAATGATGAATAAATTATGGTTCTGTCACAGAAGAGAATATTATACAGAAATTAAAACAATGACTTAGAGTTGTATCTGTTGACTCAGTGGAATGCGTATGAAATATCTAAGTGAGGAAAGAAAGTTATAAATTAATATGCATGTGTACACACACATATATAATATGAAGCCATTTTTGTAAAGGTTGACAAAACAGCCCTGGCTGTCGTGAGTCAGCAGATGGAACACCGGCCTGCAAACCAAAAGGTCACCAATTCAGTTCCCAGTCAGGGAACAGGCCAGGGCTATCTCCAGCACATTGAGGTTCCCTCCCTCTCCTTCCCTTGCCCTCTCTCTAAAAATAAATAAATAAAATCTTTTTTAAAAAATGACAAAACAGTCCTATTTATGTTCATGAAGAAAGATGTTAACATCAGTTGTCTCTGTTGGGAATGACAAGTTTGAGGAGAAAATCATTAACTTTATACATCTTTGCATTGATTTCTTTAATTAGAATGAACGTATACTTTGAACAGAACTTCATAAAGGAAATGTAATTCAAACAGGAGCATTCCTCAAGTTTATTGTGAAGATGAACTGAGATCATACTATATTAAGCTCTTGGTATGGCGCTTGATATATAGAAGGCGCTCAGTAACCATTAGCTACTATTTGTTGTTCATTTTTGACCCCAGAAGTCTGGGATGCCCCTGCCCATCTTCCCGGATGCACTGGAAAGCTGCTGAGTGGAGGGAAAAGACTTCTGCTCAGTGGACTTCTCAAAATGAGGTTCAGGAATTCTCAGCTGAGGGTTAAGTAGGACCCTGTGTATGTTTCAGAGTTTTATGTGTATATGTAGATTTCAGGGAAGAAAGGCTGTGGCTTTCATCAAATTATAAAGAGGTCTGTGATTGGAGAAAAGGATCTGCCCTTCTCTTGTCCTGACAGCATTGACTTGGGCAAAGCAAATGAACCCAATCACGTGGAGCTGGGGCGCAAGGACGATGCCAAAGTTCACAAGATGTTCCTGGACCATACAGGTGAGTGGCGATGGAGGTCTGAGGGGGTGAGGGTGGAGGGGCTGAGGTTAAGTCATTGCCTGGGTGGGTGGGATCTGAGGGTGACTGGGGCAAGGAGGATGAGGGTGGGAATGGCAGTGCCCTTTAGGACCCATGTTCTCCCCCGCTCCAGGCTCTCACCTGCTAATTGCTCTGAGCAGCACTGAGGTCCTCTATGTGAACCGTAATGGACAGAAGGTACGGCCTCTGGCACGCTGGAAGGGGCAGCTGGTGGAGAGCGTGGGCTGGAACAAGGCACTGGGCTCTGAGAGCAGCACAGGCCCTATCCTCGTGGGCACTGCCCAAGGCCAGATCTTTGAAGCAGAGCTCTCAGCCAGCGAGGGTGGGCTTTTCGGCCCTGCCCCAGATCTCTACTTCCGCCCCTTGTATGTTCTAAATGAAGAAGGGGGTCCAGCACCCGTGTGTTCCCTTGAAGCAGAGCGGGGCCCTGATGGGCGAATCTTTGTTATTGCCACCACTCGGCAGCGCCTTTTCCAGTTCATAGGCCGAACAGCAGAGGGAGCTGAGACACAGGGCTTCTTGGGGCTTTTTGCTGCCTACACTGACCACCCACCCCCATTCCGCGAGTTCCCCAGCAGTCTGGGCTACAGTGAGTTGGCCTTTTATACTCCTAAATTGCGTTCTGCGCCGAGGGCCTTCGCCTGGATGATGGGGGACGGCGTGTTGTACGGAGCACTGGACAACGGGCGTCCCGACTCCCTGCTGAGTGAGGAACGAGTCTGGGAGTACCCAGACGGGGTAGGTCCTGGGGCCAGCCCACCCCTGGCCATTGTCCTGACCCAGTTCCACTTCCTGCTGCTGCTGGCGGACCGGGTGGAGGCGGTGTGCACGCTGACGGGGCAGGTGGTGCTCAGGGATCACTTCCTGGAGAAGTTCGGGCCGCTGAAGCACATGGTGAAGGACTCCTCCACGGGCCACCTGTGGGCCTACACCGAGCGGGCTGTCTTCCGCTACCACGTGCAGCGGGAGGCGCGGGATGTCTGGCGCACCTACCTGGACATGAACCGCTTTGACCTGGCCAAAGAGTATTGCCGAGAGCGACCCGACTGCCTGGACACCGTCCTGGCTCGGGAGGCCGATTTCTGCTTTCATCAGCGTCGTTACCTGGAGAGTGCCCGCTGCTATGCCCTGACCCAGAGCTACTTTGAGGAAATTGCCCTCAAGTTCTTGGAGGCGCGACAGGAAGAGGCTCTTGTTGAGTTCTTGCAACGAAAACTGGCCAGTTTGAAGCCAGCTGAGCGTACCCAGGCCACGCTGCTGACCACCTGGCTCACAGAGCTCTACCTGAGCCGGCTCGGGGCCCTGCAGGGTGACCCAGACGCCCTAAACCTCTACCGGGAAACACGGGAGCACTTCCGCGCCTTCCTCAGCAGCCCCCGCCACAGGGAGTGGCTCTTCGCCAGCAGGTCCTCCATCCACGAGCTGCTCGCCAGCCATGGGGACACGGAACACATGGTGTACTTTGCTGTGATCATGCAGGACTATGAGCGGGTGGTGGCATACCACTGCCAGCATGAGGCCTACGAGGAGGCCCTGGCCGTGCTTGCCCGCCACCGGGACCCCCAGCTCTTCTACAAGTTCTCGCCCACCCTCATCCGTCACATTCCTCGCCAGCTGGTGGATGCCTGGATTGAGATGGGGAGCCGGCTCGATGCCCGGAAGCTCATCCCTGCCCTGGTGAGCTATAGCCAGGGCGGCGAGGCCCAGCAGGTGAGCCAGGCCATCCGCTACATGGAGTTCTGCGTGAACGTGCTGGGTGAGACTGAGCAGGCCATTCACAATTACCTGCTGTCACTGTATGCCCGAGGCCAGCCAGCCTCGCTGCTGGCCTACCTTGAGCAGGCTGGGACCAGCCCGCACCGTGTGCACTACGATCTCAAGTACGCGCTGCGGCTCTGCGCTGAGCACGGCCACCACTGTGCTTGTGTCCACGTCTACAAGGTCCTGGAGCTGTATGAGGAGGCTGTGGACCTGGCCCTGCAGGTGAGCCAATGAGTCTTCATGCCCTCTAAGAGAGGGGCCTGGAGAGCAGTAGCTTCAATGCTGACGGGCTGGAGAGGTGGCTGTGGCCAGGTGTGCTGGCCTCCCTTGCAGAGAGGTGTGGTAGTGTAGAAGTATAGAGGTTAAGAACAGGGACTCAAGTCAGGATTTGAATTCTGATCCTGCTCCTTTCTAAGCTGTTTGACCTCAGCCTAGTCCTGAACCTCTCTGTGTCTCAGGTTATTCATCCACACAGTGGGGGTAATATTACAGTATTTCCCTCACAGGGTGGATTGATGTCCTGAATGCGGCCCTGGCCGTGTAGCTCAGTTGGTTAAAGTGTCATCCTGATCTGCCAGGTTGCACGCCAGAATCAACCAATGAATGCATAAGTGAGTGGAACAACAAATGGATGTTTCTCTCTCTCTGAAATCAATCAATAAATTTTTTTTAAAAAGTACTATATATGAAAAGCACTCAGAACAGTGCCTCTTGCTTAGGTAAGGTGTGCATACCTGCTGGCTGTTGTGTTATGGTCCCAGGTGCAGAAACAGAGGATGCTGAGTGACATTTCTCAGATCATGAATTATCACCTAAAGGACTTACTGAATCAGAGTATGTGAAGGTGGGCCCCCAAATCTGAATTTTGACCATGTTCCCCAGGACATGAATTCACTGAAATTGAAGCCCCACCGTCATAAGTAGCTCTTACATAGCTGTGATGGGCACAGGCCTGTCACTGAGATAGGTTCCTGTCCTGGCCCGAGAAGCTCCTCGTTTGCTGCCGGGAGTGCTGGGAGTCCTGCCTTGGGGTCTCCCTGGGCATCTGTTTCTCCTGTGGTCTCTGTCCTGGGTGGGGAGGAGGGCTGACCCTAACACTCATGGTTTCCCCATAGGTGGATGTGGACCTGGCCAAGCAGTGTGCTGATTTGCCCGAGGAAGATGAGGAACTTCGAAAGAAGCTGTGGCTGAAGATTGCGCGGCACGTGGTGCAGGAGGAGGAGGACGTGCAGACAGCTATGGCCTGCCTGGCCAGCTGCCCCCTGCTCAAGATTGAGGACGTGCTGCCCTTCTTTCCTGACTTTGTCACCATCGACCACTTTAAGGAGGCGATCTGCAGCTCGCTGAAAGCCTACAACCACCACATCCAGGAGCTCCAGCGGGAGATGGAAGAGGCTACCGCCAGTGCCCAGCGCATCCGGCGAGACCTGCAGGAGCTGCGGGGTCGCTACGGCACCGTGGAGCCCCAGGACAAATGTGCCACCTGCGACTTCCCCCTTCTCAACCGCCCTTTTTACCTCTTCCTCTGTGGCCACATGTTCCATGCTGACTGCTTGCTGCAGGCTGTGCGGCCTGGCCTACCGGCCTACAAGCAGGCCCGGCTGGAGGAGCTGCAGCGCAAGCTGGGGGCTGCTCCACCCCTGACCAAGGGCTCTGCCCGGGCGAAGGAGGCCGAGGGTGGGGCTGCTGCTATGGGCCCCAGCCGGGAACAGCTCAAGGCTGACCTAGATGAGCTGGTGGCGGCTGAGTGTGTGTACTGTGGGGAGCTGATGATTCGCTCTATCGACCGGCCCTTCATCGACCCCCAGCACTACGAGGAGGAGCATCTCAGTTGGCTGTAGGAGGGGGCTGCCCTGATGGGGTCAAGGGCAGCTGCCAGCCCAGTCTTGGGAAGGCCGCTTGGCAGCGTGTACTTAGTCATCTGGAGACCGCTGGACTGGGCTGCGGCTGTGGGGGGCCTGGAGGGCCAGCCCTCTCCTGCGGGGCTAGGCTCTGAGTGCACCTACCCACTGCTCTTGAGCCCTGCTTCAGAGCTGCCTTAGAGCCCTGCTGTTACTCCAGGCCGTGGGCCTGCCCCCCAACAGAGGGCGTAGGCTGGAGAGGTCACAGTTCTGTCACCTTCCATCCCCTCAGCATCTAGCAGTTTGCTGTTTTCCTTTTTGCTCTCTGCACACATCTTGTTCGCCTCGAGCGAGAGCACCATTCTTCCTTTTCACTCCGTGCCTCTTCTCCCTCAGAGGAAGCCCACTCTTCTCTCTGCTTCCAGGTCTCAGAAGTGAAAAGAGCCCCTCCAAATCCTGGGCATGGGGCCTGGGAAAGGCGGTGCCTATGGGTGTGCTCTTGTGCACACTGGGGTTCCTCGGTGAGGGGTGCCCTGGCAGAGGGCCCCATGGAAACAGTGGGAGCTGGTAGTGGGTTGGAGAGGATTAAACTGTCTGCATTTGATTGATGGCTCTGGAATTGATGGCTTCGTGTTGATGCTGGGCTGAGTGATGTGTGCGGGGTCCCCAGGAGGGACTGGGGTGTCACAGGGCGGGGGCCGGGGGCCAGGGCCCTGTGTGCTTTCAAGCCTTGGCCTTTGCTTCTTCACCTGGAGGTGTGACAGGGTGATTTTGCCATTTTCTGCTCTCTTCCTCGTCCCCCACTCTCTCCTCTCTGACCCCAGGCTTCAGCTGGAAGTTACACCCACCATCCTGTGCGTGAGCAGGGACTGTTCTCCCCTTCTGCCAGCAGGTGGTGTTGCTCCCGTAGACTGTTTGCCTCGGGCAGCTGGAAGTGTCAGCTGGAAGTGTCGCTGCCTCAAGTCACTCTCCCCTAGCGCTGCTTCAGTCTGCTCCTTTCCCTAGTTGTCCCAAGAATTTTCTGGGTATCTCTGCTACCTAACCATGAGCCTAAGCCCCCCATGCTCCCTCCCTCCACCAGCCCTTCCACACATTAGATGTGACTTGCCCCTATCTTTGCAGGCCTGGACCCCACATTCCCAGGCTCTGCCCAGCTTTGATACTTCCCTACCACTGGCATTTAGCCATAACGTCGAGGCCCGACGTGGAGGTGGGACTGCCACTGCCACCATTCATGGCATTTGGCAGATAGGTTTTTGTCTGTCTAGCTCCTGTAGCCTGCCCCTCCCCCCAGATTACACTTCTTTAGCTGTGTCTGGTGGCTAAGCCACAATTAAAGATTCTTAGAGCAGGGCCTTCCTGTGACATCAGCTGAGCACCCTTTGCTCCAAACACCGATGTCCACAGTCCACTCCCCAGCTCTACGGGTGTGGTCTGTCAGCCGCCAGACTGAAACGAAATAACCAGGAATGGGGCTGGGGTCAGGGCACTTGGCTGGTGTCTACAGGCTTTTCTCTCTTTCCTGAAGCCAAATTCTCTTCCAAGACTTACCTCTTGCAGTCCGGGTGGACCTTGTCCTGCTGAGTCCCCAACCACTAGAGCAACAGAGTCTCTTCAGGGCCTCTGCCAACTTCAAGGGCTGTAAACACCTCATCTTTGATGAGCCTCAGGTTCCTATCTTCTCCCAGAACCGAGAGTGGGAGTAAACCTGTGTTGGGGGCGGGGTCTCATTGGAGAAGTACAGGACAGCATAATCCTATTCTCTCTCCACTGTTGCAGGAAGATTTGGAGGGCTCCTGCTCCCTCTCCCTCTGTGGCCTAAAGCTGCCCTCACACCTAGACATGTCCAGTAGAGGGCTCAGGGGAGCTGTTCCCCACCCCGCCACCCCCCACCCCAGTCAGTGAGTATTCAGTATAAACCTTGGCCCGCCACTGGCATGGTCCCTTGCTTGCTTAGAACAGCTTGGGGCTTCTGTCTTTGCACATAATGGGTGCCTAATATATGTTAGTTAAACAAACGCTGCCTTATTGCTCTCTCCTCTCCAGGGACTTGGCTAAGACAGCCTGGGACGCCCCTGCCCCTTCTGTCCTCTCCTAAGCCTGCCCATCTGGTCTAGGCTGCTTCCTCTTTCCTGGAAAAGGCCCCAGGCTTCCCTGGCACTGACAGAATGGGGTTCCGTTGAGTCAAGGCAACGGGAAGCCACAGCTCTTAGATCCCTGGAAACCAAGCAAGGCCTGGAATGAAGGGGAGAGAGAAGGCGCTTAAGGGCCTTGGCCCTAAGCCTGGGGGAGGGCCAGAAGGGGGTGGGGTAGGGGAGCAGCTGCGTGGGCAGGGGCCAAGATGAATGAGCTGCTCCTGGAGCGGTCACTGGAAATAGAAGGAGTGGCCACAGGCAGTGACGCTGGGATCAGGGCAGGAGGCCTGTAAACAAGGAAGCCACCTGGGGGAGACACAGGGCGGCCACTGGTCCTGAGAGCAGGTGCTTCCTGAGGCCCGCCCTTAAGAAGGCCCTGGGGGGCCGCCCCGTCTCATCTGCAGTGGACACTAGGGGACGCTGTCTACTGGTTTCCCAAACCCACCAGCTCCCTTCCACAGTTCCTGGGGGAGTGGCCATCAGAGGGTGTGGCAGGCCAGCGTCTGAAGTCCTGCTTAGCCACCTGGCCACCCTCCCTTCTCCTGACCCCACAGCACACTGGCCAAGCGCACCAGCCCTGGCAGGGAGGGCGCGGGGCTCAGAGCCTGTGCAGCCTGGGTGTGAGCTCATGCCCCCGGGACCAGCAATTCCCGCAGTTCCTGCCCGTGCCCCTAGGGCTTGGGTCACAGGCCTGCTGGCACCAACCCCATTGGTTGGGAGGGGGCTACAAAGCCACCAGGCTCCAGGCTGCCCTGGGCGCTGCCCCCTGGCGCCAGGGAAACAAAAGGTTAGGGGGCCCAGAGGGACTTATCTGGCCCCACTGGGTCGGGGGAGCAAGAGGGGCACACCTCCTCGCAACTCCCTCAGCTCTGCAGATTCTTCGAGACACTTTCACAGGCGGAAATTCCCAGAGGTCAGAGGAGGGAAACGGTTAATTCCTTTTATTCAATGGGTCCCCCCCTACACGCCTCCCCCAACTTCCTCCCTCCACTTCCCGCCCCCCCCTGTGTGAACAGGAAGTGGAGAGGAAAAGGCTCTGAGCAGAGCAGCTGGGAGCAGGAGGCAGGGAGTGGGTGGCAGGCTTGGTGCCAGCCCTGCCCCTCGTGGTTACTTGCTGGAGGGTCAGACCCACGGTGGCCTGGGAAAGAACCTGCAGCCCCGCTGGTGAGTGGCAGGGGGCTGGGAAACAGCCCAGGGTCCAAGCCCCCTTCCCTCAGCCTGCTCCCGGGTCAGAGGTTGCTGCACTGGCATTGGGACCTGCAAGGCATCCTCTGCCCAAAACCTAGCTGCAGCCCCACCCCCACCGCAGGCTGGTCATCCCGAGGCTGGCAGGCATCTCCTCAGGCAGCCGCCAGTCCTGGCACTGGCTCCAACCACTCAGCCCCTTGGCCCTGACAGCTCTTTGAAGCTCATGCAGCGCTTCCTGTTTGGGGCGGGCTATGCCAGGGCCCCTCCTCCACCATTGTTCTGTAGAGACCATAGGTCCATCTGTTGCCCCATGGTGGGGCCCCTAGGCTGTGCCACAAGGGAGCAGCACCACAAAGGACCCTGCTGGCAGCTTTGCTTATGTGGAGTGCGGCTGCAGCAGGTTGAGGGTGAATGGTGGTCAGAGGCAGGCCCGGAGTGGGCAGCGGGATAGAAGCGGGATGCTAGGTCTAGTTCTTGGGCAGCTGCAGCCCTCAGATTTCTCCTCCACCTGGAACACAGAAATGATCGTATTCCAGGGGCGCTGAAGCCGCCAAGGTGGGGAAACCATTCTTATGCCCAGATTCCAAAAGGGAAAACGGAGGCAGAAGGGCCAACTTTGGTCTAGGATGGGCGATGAAAGGGGCATAAAGGAGGGTTCTTCTTTCAAGGGGATTATTAGCGCCTGCTCGCGAATGCCCCCTGATTTGGTGCTTTCCTCTTCCTGAGCCGCTTTGCCTTTTCTCAGCTTTTGCCTTGAAGTAGCCCTTGAACTTGGCAGTCAGAAAACATGAGGTCATGGGAGGTTAGGGGGCCCTAGGTTGGAGGCCAGCAACTGATGTCCACAGAGAACAAGCCAGGGCAGACATGGCAGTAAGAGAGAAAGGGGCACTGATATGGCCCCAGGAAGTGGGGTGCTGCTCTGGGCTCCCAGGCTGCCTGCCATGGCCAAAGGTCTGTTTGTGTTTCCAGGTGTAGAGGCAGGTGCCTTGTATCTCTGCAGCTTGCCTCCTCTGCCATAGCCTCAATCCACAGCTCTGACCTTGACCTGCTTCCTCCCCCAGGGCTGGGACCCCAGACATGGTCTAGCCCACTTCCCTCCTCAGATCCCCCAGCTCCTCTAGCCAGCCCAGGATCCCAACTGCCTGGATCGAGGCTGCCCGAGGTCAGAGCTGCAAGATCTCAGAGGCCTTGGGGTGGTGTGGGACCCTAGTTCAGATAAAAACTTTCATGGACATCCAATACTAGAAATTCACATGCTAAGCTTCCCCGGGGAAGCCAGGCTCGGGGCACACCCTTATTCACTGTCCTTTCCTCCCCCTTCCCAATCTCTAGGGGATGCTAGGATGCCAGGAGCCCAGTCTGAAAATCACTGAGCTGCCAACTCCACCTTCTGATTTTATAGATGCTAAATTTCAGGGGAAATTGGTGGTGGGCACTAGGTCCGTCTAGGGTCCTGCCTCTCCTCCTTGAGACTGAGCATCAGTCACCAGCTATCCTACAGCCACCGGGAGCCAAACACCGTTCCAGGCCCTTCGTTGTGCTCATTCTTTTTTTTCTTAATTCTCACCGGAGGATATTTTTTGTATTATTGTTTGAGGAAGAGAGAGGGAGAGGAAGGGAGGGAGGGAGAATGAGAGAGACCGACAGACAGGCTTATTGATTTTAGAGAGAGGGGAAGGGAAGGAGAGAGAAATGTCCATGGGAGAAACACCGATCAGGTGTCTCACGCACACGCCTCAGACAGGGCCTGAACCAGCGACCTAGGTGTGTGCCCTGACTGGGTGTCAAACCCACAACCTGTTTTGGTGTACGGGGGCGATGCTCTAACCAACAGAGCCACGGGGCCAAGGCCACTGTGCTCATTCTTCATCTCCAACCAAAGTGGGGCTGCATTGAGAGGCAGGGAGATCTGGAAAGAGCAGAGGCGAATCTCTGCTGTGTCATTTACCAGCTGTCAGTTTAATCGCACCCTCAGAGCCTCAGTTTCTTCACCTGTAAAACGTGAGTAAATGTAACAGACCCGAGAGGCTCTGGTAAAGCTCAGAGCAGAGCAGAGCAGTGCAGCACGTCGCCCGGTTAGCCCAGGGCCTGGCACCTGAGCAGTTCCCCTTGGCGTGCTTTCTCCTCTCTCTCACTCTGTGCCTCATGCCTCTAGGGCGGGCACCTTGTGAGCCCTCTCTCGGCTCTTCCCTCAGGAACCCCTCTGATCTCTTTGGGAATCAGACTAAAATTGGAAGAAAGAGGCTTACTTGCAAAGGTTTTTCTGGTTTCTTCAAAGGTG